GTGGCCCTCCTCTGGACATGTTCCAGTTTGTCAGTGTCCTTCTTGAACTGTGGTGCCCAGAACTGGACACAGTACTCCAGGTGAGGTCTGACCAGAGCAGAATACAGTGGCACTATTACTTTCCTTGATCTAGATGCTATACTCCTATTGATGCAGCCCAGAATTGCATTGGCTTTTTTAGCTGCCGCGTCACACTGTTGGCTCATGTCAAGTTTGTGGTCAACCAAGACTCCTAGATCCTTTTCACATGTACTGCTCTCAAGCCAGGTGTCCATTTGTCTTTCTTGACAAGTCACGTACGCAGCCCAGTTGTTGCCAGGCAGGCATCCTGGGTCATCAAAGATAGTGGGCAAGCTTCTTTGATGTAGCTTTTCTGATATGTTAATCTTAGGATGTTAATCTTAGGGCCAAGAAACAGGTTTCACATAAAGGTGATAATGATCGCTGTCCTCCTGGCCATCCTTCTTATTATGTATATTGCTTGTTTATCACCTTCAGGGTTGCCAAATGCTCTCCTTTGTAGTTCTGTTCTTTGTTTACCCCAGAAATATGTGTGCTTAATTAGTTTTGGTAGTTTCACTTTATCCCCACAGGGATTTGTGGAAATGATCAGAAGAAATCTGATTGGTTCTTATGAACACTCTGTTCTTACTGAGCACTCTGTTCTTTTGTGAATAAAACAAGCTGGGCCGAAGGGTGGAGAGAGAGACACAGACAGAGATTATTATACGCACCCTTCCCAGAGTCTTGCTGGTTCAAGCCTCTGTGTGTATCCTTATTAATCAGAGTTCAATCCTTCCTTTACTTTGGGAACGCCTCACCCAGTATGACTGAGAGCTGCAAGAGTCACATGCAGAGCCAGATCACCCATGAGGTGAGGCAGTGGTGTAGCATGGGTTGCCAGTGCCCCAGGGCCACACGGATGGGAGGTGGGGGGACAGACAGAGTACACATATGCATTCAACTGCCTAATGGTATCTGTGTCACCCAGGAGATTGCAGCCACAGAGATAAGAAAAAGTTGTTTTGTTGTCTGGAGAGGTCACTTCCTTGTTTGCTGCATCAAGGCAACACTGGGTGTTGGAATTTTGGGCTCCTAACAATTTCGCGCCCAGGGCAACCCACGCTACGCCACTGAAGCAGGTTGAAGATTTCACCCGATCTCAACAGAACCTGCCACAGTGCAACGTAGGTAAGGGATGCTTTGGTAGGGGCGGCAGCTGGAGGGCACTTCCTGTTTTGCCTCAAGTGGCAACCCGGGATGTACCACCGCTGGTCATATGGCCTCAGGAGCAGGGCTAAAAGCAGTCTCCCTGTACCCATGTTGGTTCTCCCCCCCTCCTTTTAAAGTCTGAATAGAGCAAATAGTGCATCATGCCAAATCCTTATAAATTTTATAATATGGCGTCATATAAGAGGGGAAGATTTAAAGCACAGTCTGGTTGTCACGGTCTGGTTCACGGGCGATCAAAGTCCCGGCAGGGGACGTCAGGACCGGGGGCAAGATGGCGGGGTGGAGCAGGAAGGGGGGGTCCAGAAGCCAGGAGTCAGGAAGCCAAGGGTCCGAGGGTCAGGAAGCAAGGAGTCAAGGGTCCAGGATGAAGAAGCAAGGAGTCAAGAAGTCAGGGGTCCGAGGATCAAGAAGCAGGGAGTCAAGAAGCCCGAGGTTCAAGGATCAGGAAGTAAGAAGCCAAAGGCAGGAAGCGTGTTGCTGTGGCAAAGAGGCGAAGGGAAATGCTGACCTTATATCCCTTCCTGGCTCTTGCCACCAGGTGCTGTGAGTTACCAATCGGCCTCACCTGTGTGGCCGCGCCTTGCCTCTTCAGAACAAACTTAGGAAGACCCCAGTCCTGCAAAGTCCTATTGGTCACAGGGCCTGGCTCCTGCACACACACCTGACACTGGTGGATGGAAAACTGGAGATGTGATTTCCCTCCGCTCATGGTTTTCTCTTGAAAACTACTTCTAACCAGCCAGCTTACTTCTACACATGCAGCCCCGACAGGAGAAAAATGACTAGAATGTAGAGATTCTAAGGCACAGAAAACAGAAGACCCTCCAGCCACACTTCATCCTCCCTGCTGACCATCGCCCTGCAATTTAGGGAGCATCCATGTTGACCCAATTCTGCCCCATGAAGCAAGAGTTTTGAAATTCGCAACTGGTGGTGCAATATGAGAAGGGCTACACTATCAAATAACATGATGTGCACCCATGAGTGGGAAGAGCTGCCCACGGGGGTAGGGCAAGCGTCCCAGGGTAGTGGTGTGGTGATGTCACCCCCCTCAGGGATAGCACCCGGGGCGGACCGCACCCCCTTCCTCCGCCAGAGGAGCCTCTGTAACATATTGTCCTGGGAAGATTGGCTCTAGGCCTACTCTTCTTAGAATAATAATAGTTGCTTGGATAAGCCTACCTGCAGTTTCTCTGATCTTAAAAATGTTGCGAAGGGAAGGATTTCATAACACATCATGTTGCAGACGGCTTTGAGTTTGACTTCCTCGTCCTTCCCACTGCTTTGGCAGAGCTCAGATAAAATATTAGAAGAATGAGCACAATTATTTCTCCTCAGAAATACACGTGTGCCTCATTTCTCAGAACTTTGTGGCGCAGAAATGTGGAAAATGCTTCCTTTAAAACAGTGAGGATTGGGTCTGTTACATCTACCTCCCTGAAGCTCTGACTCCCTGACTAACACTTGGTTGCTAATTATTTTAACTGTTTAGAATGGAGCAATTGTTGTTGTTGTTTAGTCGTGTCCGACTCTTCGTGACCCCATGGACCAGAGCACGCCAGGCACTCCTGTCTTCCACTGCCTCCCGCAGTTGGTCAAACTCATGTTACTCACTTCAAGAGCACTGTCCACCCATCTCGTCCTCTGTCGTCCCCTTCTCCTTGTGCCCTCCATCTTTCCCAACATCAGGGTCTTTTCCAGGGAGTCTTCTCTTCTCACGAGGTGGCCAAAGTATTGGAGTCTCAGCTTCAGGATCTGTCCTTCCAGTGAGCACTCAGGGCAGATTTCCTTATGAATGGATAGGTTTGATCTTCTAGCAGTCCATGGGACTCTCAAGAGTCTCCTCCAGCACCATAATTTAAACCCCTTCATGGATCACTGCCTTGCTGTGGCGAAGGGGCTTGAATAACTCAGAGAAGCTATGACCTATGCCGAGCAGGGCACCCAAGATGGACATGTCATAGTGGAGAGTTTTGACCAAATGTGGTCCACTCCAGTATCCCTGCCAAGAAAACTCCATGGACAAAGACAACAGGCAATGGAGCAATTAAAATTAGTTTAATTCATTCTCCTGTTCGTTTTAGGAATTTATATGCTGCCCTTTGATTATATTTTTTTCAGGGCAGCTTGCAAATGAAAGAGTGTCACACACCGCTCCAATCTCTGAGCAGTCTGAGAATCCAGGGGTTCCATACCTAAGGTCCATGGAAATGAGGCACTGCAGAGACTGTGGTGTCTTTATGATATATGGTTTATTTAACATGTATACAACCTGAGCCTACGTTGGAGGGGTTCACAGAATTAACACCCCAAGAGGGTCTTGCTTCTCACATAGCCACAGAAGCCTTGGATTCAAACATGAATCCACCATTGTGCTCTCTCCCTCTCCAGCTTGCTGCGTTTAACAAACTGCAACCTCTTACCCCTAGGTCACATCACCACCACTGCAATCCTAAACTCAACTCTGCTATCTCAGAGCTGAGGGAGGGGGTCCCTTCCATTTTCCACACGGCACAGAAAGCCATCTCTCTGACTTTCCTTTGTCTTTGGTTAATGACTGATTTACCAGGTGATTTCCTGAATATGGGAAGTTAGTTCAATGGCTTAGCCTGTATCTTAACACTTGGCTAAATCCACCTATTAGACACAGGAAATTAGGGAAATCTGACACTCCCAAACCCTGGCACCCCCAACTCATAACAATACATAATAAAACAAAGCAGTATAAAAACAGAAATAAAACTGAAGATTTAAACACCTTTTTTTTTTTAAAAAAAGTAATTTTTCCTGCCTGACTGGAAATCCTGTGTACAGTCGAAGTGTGGGGAAAGTGGTAGCTTTTTAGCAGGGAAGAGAGAAATAACTACACATGCTCACTGACATTTCTCTTTATCATCACTTCAGCTGTTCCAGGAGTTTTTTCTGGTGTTTGAGAATAGTAATGGGGCACAGTCACATCAAATTTGTCACGGTAGACCCCTTCCCTGCCTCTATGGGTGATGCAGACACACTGCTGAGCTATGAGCTACAGTACTCAGTAGGAAGACTAAGCACACACTGAGGGCACTGGAAAACCAAGGGCACAAAAAAGATTTTTTTTAAAAAACTGGAAAGAATTTGACACTTGATCTTTCGAAAGAAGCGCTGAAGGAGGCATCGTGGCAGAAACAAGAACTTGCTTCGACTATCTCCCCTGCACACTCTTCCTTCATTTCCCCGTTCTTTTTATGACTTATCCCCACGTAAACCAGGGGGCGCCCCACCGACAGCAGATCAAAATAACGCGCCAGGAAGAAGGAAGAGCCCCGGCAGTGTGTTTCACACAGGGCATAATGCACGCGTGCACATCTCGCCGTACATGCAAGTTTTGCGTCCTTGCAAAAAAACCAAAACAAAACACCAGCAACGCGGCTTGCTTTTTTTGAATTGCATCGCCACCAATATCCTCATGTTGTTATTTGCATCCCTCCCACCTCACTGGCTTCCTTCAGACGCATATTTTGCTTTTCCCCGGGGGTTGGTGGGGGGAGCACCCCAGTTTGCCCGTCTCTAGGGACCTTTCCAGGTCCGGCTCTGCGCACGACTCGTGCCAAGAAGGAGCGTGGGCGAGGACCAAGGAGCGCGCAAAGTCACCGCGCTTGACCCTGGCAGGGTGGCGGGCGGGACCAAGCGAAGGAGAAGGAGGAGCGCCGTCTGACATTTCCTGCCCAGGCTACCTTGCGAAGGGACTCCTGAGCCCGCCTCCCGCTCGCGAAAGCAAGGTGGGTTGGCCCCGGCCGGGCGCTTTTAGCCCTCCCGCCGTTGCCATACTACTGCTGCTGCAAGCCAAAGCCAGGCACCCGGGGTCTCCACCATGGAGCGCAGCTCGGCCGCCGTGGGTGCCGTGAGGCGCCTCCGCACGCATCCTGCTCAGCAGCAGCAGCAGCACCCTCGCCCAAACCAGCAGCAGCAGCAGCCGCCGTGGCGCCCGGGCCAGGAGCCCGACGGACTGGACGGGAAGAAGCCGGCGGGCAGCCGGGGAGGAGGAGGAGCGAGGGGCCTCCCGCTGCTGCCGGAGGCGCGCACGGCCCTGCTGCTGCTACTCTACTTGCTGGCGCTGCGCGGGATCGCGCACCTCTCCCTGCGGAGGCTGGTGCAGCCGGCGGAGCGCCGCCCCGGCGAGGATTTCAGCGCCCCGCGCGCCAGGTAACCGCAGGTAGCGGCGGCGGCGGCGGCTCTCGCGCGCGCTTGCCGGGTCCCAGGTCCCTTCTTCCGTGGGGTGCGTGGGTGGGAAGGGTCCAGGGACAGATGCCCCCCCCCCAAAAATCAAGTACATAACTAACTGAGGTTCTGGCCCCCACCCCAACATAAAGCCTGCCCGCCCCCTCGAACATGAATCTTAGCTACACCCGTGGTCCCTTCCCCCGTCCTCACTGCGCACCTGCATCTCTGGGAGAGGGAGACATGGGCGTAGCCGGGGAGCGGGAAGACGGAGCCACAATACTATTGAAAAGCACTGAAAGTACACAATTATCTGAGGTCCTGTGTGCCCCCCTCCCAGCAGAAGCCTCCCCCTAATGTCCTCAACAACTTTGGAGGATCCCCTAAAAAAAGCTTTGGCTGCTCCCCAACAAAAATCTTGGCTCTGCCCATGGAGAGAGAGGTGGAATGCTCTCCTCTGGGAGGGCCAACTTGGCCCCACGCCCATGGGTGCCCAGGGCCATGGGTTCCATACAGTGTCTGGCCCCGGGGTGTTGGCTCCTACGCCCTCCTCCCAGACTAATGTACTGACAGTGGTGTAGCGTGGGGGGTGCAGGGGGTGCCGGCCGCACCGGGTGCAACATCTGGGGGGGGCGCTCGCACTCGCAGCTCTCTGCCCCTACTAAAATCCACGGGTTAGGGGGGCGCAAATTACTTGCCTTGCCCCGGGTGCTGACAACCCACGCTACGCCACTGTGTACTGATGTACCCTAATGTACTTTGAATCTGATCTAGATAGGAGTTTCAAACGTTGTGTCATTGTGTTCCCTATGTCCTTTTTGATTGTAGTAGCTAGCAATAAAGGATAGCTGCTGGGCCTGTGTACATGGAAAAATACAGTATGTCTTTTTTAGCTATTAAGGTGCCTTTAATGTGTAGGTAGGAACGAACAGGGAGCACTCGTGTTTTCAGAATCTCTGTGGTTTAATTGAACTGTGGCAAAGCCCCAGAAACAGTTTCTGTAATAACATTAATTTTATTATTTATACCCCGTCCGCCTGGCTGGGTTTCCCAAGCCACCCTGAACAGCTTCCAAACATATGTTAAAACAGAATAAATAATCAAACATTAAAAACCTCCTGATACAAGGCTGCCTTCAGATGTCATCTGAAAGTCAGATAGTTTTTTATTTCCTTGACATCTGATGGGAGGGTGTTCCACAGGGAGGGTGCCACCACCAAGAAGGCCCTCTGCCTGGTTCCCTGTAACTTTGTTTCTCGCAGTGAGGGAACCGCCAGAAGGCCCTCGGAGCTGGACCTCATTGTCTGGGCAGAATGATGGGGGTGGAGATGCTCCTTCAGGTATACTGGACCAAGGCTGTTTAGGGCTTTAAAGGTCAGCACCAACACTTTGAATTGTGCTCGGAAACATACTGGGAGCCAGTGTAAATCCTTTAGGACTGGTGTTATATGGTCTCGGCGGCTGCTCCCAGTCACCAGTCTAGCTGCCGCATTCTGGATTAGTTGTAGTTTCTGAGTCACCTTCAAAGGTAGCCCCACTTAGAATGCATTGCAGTAGTCCAAGTGGGAGATAACCAGGGCATGCACCACTCTGGGGAGACAGTCTGCGGGTAGGGTCTCAGCAGAATTGACCTGTGCCTCTATGGACAGCTGTGAGTCCAAAATGATTCCCAGGCTGCACACCTGGTCCTTCAGGGGCACAGTTACCCCATTCACGACCAGGATCAGTTGCCCCAAAACAGTACTTCTGTCTTGTCAGTATTCAGCCTCCGTTCTGTTAGCCACCATCCGTCTTCCAACTGCCTCCAGACACACACACACAAGACATTCACTGCCTTCACTGGTTCCAATTTAAAGGAGAGGTAGAGCTGGGTATCATCCACATACTGATGAACACCCAGCCCAAACCCTGTGATGATCTCTCCCAGAGGCTTCATATAGATGTTAAAAAGCATGGCAGAGAGGATGGATCCCTGAGGCACCCCACAAGTGAGCACCTAGGGGTCTGGACACTCCCAACACCAGGGCTAGGATGTATGAGGTTAGTGGATAACCACAGCATGGGATGTATGAGGTTAGTGGATAAATTCCACTGAATGAAGTCAGACAAATCCTGCCTTGGCTTCCTAGAATTTGCTACCAGGCTCAGGTTAAGTTACTGACTTTACCCTGGGTTGCAAGTATTTGAAGAAGTGCATCTCCTGCTACCTGCTAACCCACGCCTTAAGATCAGTGGAAGAGGCCTTCCTTTTGCCTCCATCAGGGGCTGTTTGCTGTATAACAGCATGGAGCAAGCAAGGCCTTCTCTGCTATGGCCCCCTGTATGTTAAGCTCCCTCCCATTGGACCTGTGGTTGCCTACAGCTTTCAGATGTCTGCTTAGGATGTAGCTCCCCGCCTGCTCCTGCCTTCCTGTGGAAGTGGCTGGTCTTGTGACCGGCCGCTTTATTATTTTATTATATTTATTGTTTTAAGATGCTGCTAATGTTTACTGGTTTTATGGTTTTCATTTTAATCCTTGTAGTGCATTTTATTTGATGAAGCGTTGTATACCACTACAGTGGTACGTCTACTTACGTGCACCTCTGGTTATGTATCCTTTGGACACGTACGCAGAAAACCTGGAAGTATTTTTCCGGGTTTCCTGCATGCGCAGAAGTGCTCTACTGTGTGCATGCGCAGAACAGGCACCTTCGGTTGTGAAAAACTCAGGATCCGACCGGAGCTCCGGAACGGATCGCTTCCGCAACTGGAGGTACTACTTTATTGGAGTCGAAAGGTGTGTTATAAATACAATGTGTAATATCTGAGGGGTCATCACTGACTACCGAGAAGATTTGGGATGAAGCGGGCTGTACAGTGGGACCTCGGGTTACAGACGCTTCAGGTTACAGACTCCGCTAACCCAGAAATATTACCTTGGGTTAAGAACTTCGCTTCAGGATGAGAACAGAAATCGTGCTCCGGCGGCACGGCAGCAGCGGAAGACCGCATTAGCTAAAGTGGTGCTTCAGGTTAAGAACAGTTTCAGGTTAAGAACGGACCTCCGGAATGAATTAAGTACTTAACTCGAGGTACCACTGTATCTCGCTTAGTTTGGGAGTTTTGCAGAAGTAGCATGAGGAATTGAGAAGGGAGCAGACAAGATTTTTTGCGCTACTATTTGGAGAGGAAAAGAAGCAGTACAAGACCCTTTCACTACTTCCCCTTTGGCAAAAAAACAACAACTAGTCAGGCTGTATTTCTTCCGGCTGGTTAGTCATCCTAGCAAACGCTTCTGAGTAGGACAGCTTGGGGGCATATTTCTGCTAGAACCTCTCTTTCCACATTCAGAAGATGTTAGATAGCAGGTGCATATCTGTGCAGACACAGTGTTAGAAACTCAGATATGTAAGCTGGGGCCAAATGGCTCCTTGCACCAAGGTTGCAGTCTCCAAAATGGAATGTCTGTTTGCCATTTTGGGACAAGACGGCTGTAAAGTCTTATTTTTCAAATGATGGACTGACTGTAATTGATTATCAGTTAGACAGCTGGCTAGCTCAGAAGACCTTGAGCTAGGTTAAGAACTTAAGAGAACTCCAAGAAGAAAAGTCACTTGATCCAAGGACTGTCCACATATATATTGGCTTATTCTGACCTTTTTTTCTTCCTGGTGACACGGCATTCGTAACGTAGGAATATTCTTCACAACGGTGAGCAGGGCAGTGGGGCGGGGCAAGCGAAGTCAAGCTATAACAGTTAGCTGTAACGACATTCACTCTCCTTCTCAGGCTGCGAAGAAAAAGCGCTTTGGTTCCCAAAGTTCATTCCAATTGTGCGGATAAAATACAGTGGCACCTCGGGTTACATACACTTCAGGTTACATTCGCTTCAGGTTACAGACTCCGCTAACCCAGAAATAGTGCTTCAGGTTAAGAACTTTGCTTCAGGATGAGAACAGAAATCGTGCTCCAGCGGTGCGGCAGCAGCAGGAGGCCCCATTATCTAAGGTGGTGCTTCAGGTTAAGAACAGTTTCAGGTTAAGTATGGACCTCCGGAACGAATTAAGTACTTAACCTGAGGTACCACTGTATAGCGGATAGAATTCTCCATGGTGGGGTATTAGTGTGTGTAAACAGTCCAGATCCTATGGTTCCCAGGCATGCAACTCCAAATGGTGGAGATCTTCACTTGGTCGCGAGTGGCCGATAAGTCAGTTGGAAAATTTGCCTGCGCTTGTCTGGTTTCAAACTCTGACAGTGCAGGTAAATAAGTTTTACTTTGGGTATTTTGAGCCCATTCATGTTGCTCATAGTTGAAATAGAGTAAGGCAAGAATCACATTGTTATTAGCCACTGTGGGTAGTTTGTGGGCAGTTCCTTTTATAACCTGCTAATCAGCCTCCCAAAATAGAAAAAGCTGTTATGGGATAAAAACTGGCTTGTGTTCCCACAAGGCTCGTAATTAATCAGAAATAAAAAACAAGACTGAGAGCCAAAGGGATGATGATGGGAGGAGGCAATGGTTAGTGTATATTTCTATTCCCAAGGCAGATTACAAGCTGAAACAGACAATAAAATAGACAGCAAAGATCACGCACCTGATCACAATCTAATCCAATACAAAAATAAAATAAAATCATAATGAACGCATAACTATAAAATAAACAACTTATATCAAACATTAAATACACAGCAGTTTACACTTACACTTAACTGCTACAATAAAGAATTACTAAACGACAGTAAAAATTACGAGCAATGCGTAAAATAGCACAAAACATACAAAAGCTTGTAAAAGGATCAAATTGAGAGACAAGGGTACACAACTTATAATTTATTCCTTAAAAAAAAAAAACCTGTTGTTGTCCAATCCAGTGCCTTGTTTCTGTTATGGAAGGTATTTAGCTTAAACTTCTATTCAGAGCAAATCCAAAATATAGACACACAGTTCTGGAGTGTAGACAGAGTTTCAGCTGAAGTGGCTTTTATTTATTTATTTATTTATTTATTTCATAAAAATTAATATTATTTCTTGGTTATAGAAGAAACCTCCAAGTGGTTTACAAAGGCTGCTTTTCTGTAACAATTCAGTATTAGTATAAACAAGGGAAAGTGTCCCAATTTGTATTTATGGGTTCTGTCATTCATTTCATTTTCATTTTTTTAATTTGTATACCGCCTTTCTATCTTACAACACTCAAGGCGGTTTACAAGCTGAAGAAACAAAATGTACATCTTATAACAATCTAATGCAATACAAAAATGTGATAATAAAACATAACTTTAAAATAGGCGACCTCCATCAAAAAAGTAACATTCAACAATCATTAGAATGGTATAAAATAATAATATCAACATATAAAAGTTAAACAGAAATCCCCTCAACAGTTACAATAATATCTAAACTATAATCAATAAAACAACGGCAAGCCACAGTACATAAAACAACAACAACAGCAGCAACAATAATAATAATTATTATTATTTATACCCTGCCCATCTGGCTGAGTTTCCCCAGCCACTCTGGGCGGCTCCCAATCAAGTGTTAAAAACAGTACAACGTTAAATATTAAAAACTTCCCTGAACAGGGCTGCCTTCAGATGTCTTCTGAATGTCAGGTAGTTGTTTATCTCTTTGACATCTGATGGGAGGGCGTTCCACAGGGCGGGCGCCACTACCGAGAAGGCCATCTGTCTGGTTCCCTGTAGCCTCACTTCTCGCAATGAGGGAACCACCAGAAGGCCCTCGGCGCTGGATCTCAGTGTCCGGGCTGAATGATACAATACACATTGAGAAGCAGAGGGTAGAACAAGGCTTCTGTTAACATTTTCGCGTGGGACCCATGGAAATGAGTGTGACTGTAAGGAACATGGTATAGAAAAACAACTTTTAAAATATTCTTATCACCTCCTCGTCTCCCCAACTCCAACACTTTCCATTCCTTGAGTCAAATTTAGGAGAACCATGTGCTAAAAGTCTGTCTCACTTATCGATATTGGCTTCAGTACTCTTGAACCAATCTTGTGCAAGTCACTGCAAATAAATATTTCAGATTCCTAGGTGTACGGTCACATTTCGGGCGACTTTTTGAAACCTGATTATTGAGTTTTAAAATTGAGCTAAGAAGAAAGCATTGGAACTCCTTTCTAGTGCTTGCATTATTTAAATTTACTGTGAGGGAGCTCATCACCTCTTTCATCAAGTTTTAGGTAAAGTGAGCTTTTGAGTTCCTATTGTTATTTTATTATCTCCTCCTGTTTGATGTCAGGCTTTATGGAACTTCCTTTCCCCCTTTTATTTCGTACGCATGCAGCTCTTCGTAGTTTTTAGCAACAGATCTCCCATTGCACCTCAAACCTAAACCAATTTATTTGGAACTGGATCATATTGATTTCAGCGTAACACTTCCCAATGCATATGTATAGAATTGCAGCCTTTGGCAGCAATGCTCATAAACTGCCCTAGTTTTAAGTCCTGCTGGTTTCAGCAGGACTTAGTTTCAAGCAACTTTAATTTTCAAGGAAAAGCAGTGCGTTAAATATTTTGCAGTTTGGAGTGTATGACCTTGTGTAACCATCAAACATAAGCAGCATTTTATAGGTGGTGTCTGAAGCAAACACCTGAGAAACTGAAGTGCAAATTATTATTTATCTTCTAATGGAGCTCTCCCGGGTAATGACTATACACATACAGGGTTGCTGTGTCGTTTGTGTTATCTGTTAGATTATTTCTGTTTTTAAAAAGAAATTGTTGGTTTTAATGTATTTATGCATGTGTATATGTTTTTTGCTTAAAATGTTTTAAGACACTTTTGAGTTGCTATGGAAAAAAAAGTGACCAATAAACATAAAAATAGAAACTTTTGATTAATATTCAGATAATGCCCTGGGCATTAAATCAGATGGTTAGTACGTTTCCGAGCACAATTGAAAGTGTTGGTGCTGACCTTTAAAGCCCTAAACGGCCTTGGTCCTGTATACCTGAAGGAGCGTCTCCACCCCCATCGTTCAGCCCAGACACTGAGATCCAGCGCCGAGGGCCTTCTGGCGGTTCCCTCATTGCGAGAAGTAAGGTCACAGGGAACCAGACAGAGGGCCTTCTCGGTAGTGGCACCCGCCCTTCAGATGTTAAGGAAATAAGTAGCTATCCTACCTTTAAAAGACATCTGAAGGCAGCCCTGTTCAGGGAAGTTTTTAATATTTAACGCTGTATTGTTTTTAATACTTGATTGGGAGCCGCCCAGAGTGGCTAGGGAAACTCAGCCAGATGGGCGGGGTATAAATAATAAATTGTTATTATTATATTAGGGTGTGTTGTGTATATGGAAAGATACATATGGTATATTTAATACAGAGTTGGACCTAGGTTACATCCTCAGTTAAGTATGAAACTCACTGAGTGGGCTTGAGGTAGTCCACATTGGTGTGAGGATAAATAGAATAACCCCACATAGGCGGAAGATTGCCAGATTCCAGTGTTCATGAAATATGAATGGGTTTTTAAAAAATCTCTGGGCATAATCTCTGTAAACATTGGGTGACATCCAAGTTTTGTGTGAGTGGATGTCTTCTTCTCCTTCTTCTTCTTCTTCTTCTTCTTCTTCTTCTTCTTCTTCTTCTTCTTCTTCTTCTTCTTCTTCTTCCCCCAGCAACCTCTCCTACAGCCACAAGATCTTCTCCATAGAGTTGGCAGAGGAGATTCTGGTGTGGGGGCACAGGAGGTTATGGGGCGGCCGAGGAAGAAAGGGAAGACCTATTTGCTCAGGCAGGAATCTGTTGCACAGTTGGGTGGGTGGGCATCACTCGATGTCCCCTCTTGTTCTTTTGAAGTATTATAATCAGTAACGTGCCCATATTTGTACTGCTATTTAACATATTTCTAGCCTGTCTTCAGTGGTGCATGGAGTCTAAGCTGCTGAACAGACATTTTGTTCTCCTTCTCTGGTAGTCAGTGGAACGTTAAGCCCCATTTGCCCTGTCAGGGGTCAGCAAACTTTTCCAGCAGGGGGCCGGTCCACTGTCCCTCAGACCTTGTGGGGGGCCGGACTATATTTTGGAAAGAAAAAAAAAGAGAACGAATTATTATGCCCCACAAATAACCCAGAGATGCATTTTAAATAAAAGGACACATTCTACTCATGTAAAAATACGCTGATTTCCGGACCGTCCACGGGCCGGATTTAGAAGGCGATTGAGCCAGATCTGGCCCCCGGGCCTTACTTTGCCTACCCATGCCCTAATAGCTTAAGGAATGTTCTTTCAATTATGTCATTGTTCACACCAACAGATCTAGCTTTCTCTTCAATGGCCTGTTAGGAGTAGCTGCTCTTTTGGAGCTGAGTTTGCATGCATTTGTGGGTTTTAATACATTCTTCTAATGCCCTGTTATGGTCTCCTACAGGACTTACCTAGAAAACATTACTGCAATTGGGCCCAGAGCAGTTGGAAGTCCGGAAAACGAAATCTTCACAGTCAACTACCTCTTGGAACAAGTTAAAGCTATTGAAACTCAAAGCAGTCATGTCCATACCATCTCTGTCGATATCCAGAGGCCCACGGGCACCTTCAGTATTGATTTTCTTGGAGGCTTTACCAGTTACTATGACAACATTACTAATGTCGTGGTCAAGCTGGAACCCAGGACTGGAGCAGAGCATTCGGTGCTCTCCAACTGCCACTTTGACTCTGTACCACATACTGTCGGTAGGTAACATCAGAAAAATTTTGTATAATGGGAGCAAGGGGGCTGCCACTTCGCAAGAAATTTGTGTTTCCCCCTTTCTTTAAGAGGTGGACCCCAGCGAAGGCCCAGATCTTTCTATTCACTGATTCTGGTGGAGAAATTTCTAATAATTCTCCACAAATGCAATTTATTGACCTGGCCTAAATATTTTATTTAAAGTTGCTTATGCTTTGTAAAAGGGATGCAAGTGGCACTGTGGTGTAAACCACTGAGCCCAACGGCCAAGGGTCCCTTTACCTTTACCTTAAATGCTTTGTAAGTCTTAGTTGTTGGGTACTTTGTAGACATCGTCAGCTTCACAGCACGCTGAGAATATTTTTACTTTTCAAAAGCTTATATTAATGGGGTGAATTTGTATACATTCCACCCCCTTTACTTTTTCTGCAGATTTAAAATTAGTTGTAATTTACTGGTTATCCAGCTTAACATTTTATAAAAGGCAAAAACCCTCTTACCTAAACGTAATTTTGTTAACAAGACTTAACCTGCCTACAAAGGCTTATCCCACAAACTTTTCTGAATCTGGGTAATGAAATTTTTGCACAGTTGTTTTTTGTTTGTTTGCTTTTTTGTTTTAAAAAACGCTCAGTAGTTTTATAAAACTATTAAAATGTCAAAGGCCATCCTGGCTCAGAACCCTCTTGATAATTTTGTGCTTTTACACAGTCATTTTCCTTTTGCTTTTTGAAATGCTAGCGAAAGGAAGGACTGCATCTGATTTTATGCCAAGCGCTTTCAAGCATTCACCATTGGCAAGGAGGGAGGAAATTCTTCCTTTCGTTTCCATAATCCTCTTAGGGTGTTTTCATGTAACAATACAAGGCTGAAAGAAAACCTTTTTAAGGCGTTTTACTCAAATGAGGTTTTATAAAATTGTGCAGCAGTTGTGCATCAGTACACATAAATTGATTGTGCTCTGTATATTTTCATTTTAAGGGGCCAGCGACGATGCAGTCAGCTGTTCCGTGATGCTTGAGATACTGCACACCCTTTCTAAATCACCCAAACCATTGCAGCATGCTGTCATATTCCTGTTTAATGGTGCAGAAGAGAGTGTCTTGCAGGTAAGCGTGGATTTATGAAACAATAAAATCAATGACAAATCAAAAAACAAAACAACTGCATTTCTTTATAATATTGGTTTATATTTTGATTCTGAGGGTCCTCAGAGTGACTTAACAATGTGTATGAAAACAGTGAGATTGGCTCCCACCTGAAGCCAGTCAATGAAAAGAATACAGGACGGCGTTAGCAGCATCAATGCATTAAAAAAGTTTCAGAGGAGGGGCAGTAGAAGAAGCGGAGGAAGGGTGAATGCAAGAGCCGCTTACTTTGGGCACTGCCATGTTTTGCAGCAGCTCTGGTTTCCTCTACATACTGTTGGCACCATAAACCCCATATCCTTTCCCAGCAGTTTCGTGTAGAGCAGTGATGTCCAACCGGTCGACCGCAATCGACAGGTAGATTCTTGGGCGATTGCGGGACCCTTATCGATCGCGGGAAGAAAAGTAAAGTATTTTGAATGTTTCTGACGCTTGCCCTCCTCGCTCTGTTCCTACATAGCGTCATAAGGTCAATCTTTTGTAGTCTGCTTCCGACGTCTGTTGGCTTTATTGTTTTGTGCCCATGTTAGTGTTGCAGTTAATTGCTAGCCTCCCCCCCCCAAGAAAAGTTGAAAAACTTTAAGATAAAAAATTGGATTTAAGAGTTTTCGACATGCTTCGGGTGAAGAAAGGGTAATTAATCTGCCAACAACAGCCACTGAGGGACCAAGAGTGACGGGAGGAAGAAAGATGACATCAAAGAATAACATCTAAACTGGTATGTTGGAACGGAACGGAAAGGAGGGGGGATAAAACTTTTTCTGTTTCTACTACGATAATACCTAACAACCCCGCCCCCCTGAAGAACCGTCTACATTACCTATAGCAAGTGAGATCGGAAAAATAAAAACTGTGTGGAAATAATAACATTAACTAAAGCCTTTGCTCTTTGAAATACTTGGAAGAAGATAAAAGACTCTTCTGTGACGAGCTATTTAATCGGGATCCACCATTATGAGTTGCAGAGATTAATAGTCATAGGGAGAGGCGAGCTCTTACTTTGTTATTATAGCTGTATTTCAAATCTGATTTGGCAAACCTCCCCTGGAAAGACTAATGTTTGGTGCAACCTGTCTGAGAAAATTAATGAGCAAACGCCTAGACTTTATTTCATCGGAACTGAGAGAAGATGGCGTCTGCCACCAGAGAAGGACTTTTGGATTGAATCGGCATAAATACCAGCGTGTGAGGACATACTGCAAATAAAAGACTTACCAGCTGCAAAAAAAAAAAGGGGGGGGGAAAGGAGAGTCATACAAAGTTCACACAGAAGCATATTATTGTTCACTTCAACTCGCCTGTGGGAACAGCTCAGAGGCTATGAAAGAAAGAAGGATAACAGCAGGAAGTTTTAAAGAAGGAACTATTGGAAACTCAAGGCAGTAGAACCATAAGATGATTGGACCCCACTGAACTTGAAGCATGGGAAGCCCCAACAAAAATTTATAATTTGGCAAAATATTTGGACTTTATGTATTTGTATAATTTGGAATATTTAATGTGATTTGATTGGATTGTTAAAATAGAAAACTTAATAAAAATTATTCTAAAAAAAAAAAGTTGAAAAACTTTGGCTTTCCCCCCTTAAAATAGCTCAGCAATTAATGCCCCCCCCAAAAAAGCTCAGGAACTCCTTTGGCCTTTACCCCCCTAAAAAAAGCTCTGCAACTGTGGCCTTTCTCCCTTAAAGAAAGCTCAACAATTCTGGCCTTCCCCCCCCAAAAATCTCAACAACATTGGCCTTTCCCCTCTAAAAAAACCTCATGAACTCTGGGCAATCCTCGTCTTCCACATCCCCACACACCCCACGCACGCTCCTCCGTGCCTGGTATAGAGCTTGAAAAGCTGCAAGGACTATGGCACTGCAATCTTGAGGGAAGGCACTATTTTGCTTGTTACTGTGTGCCGTGGGTGACTTTTGGGCTGACGAGCAGGATAAAACGTTTTAAGTAAATACCGTACTTTTCCGTCTAGTAAGACGTCCCCTATTTTGGGGGGCTCTCAAATTTAAGAAATTGGAGGGGATTACCCAGGGTTGTTGAGCTTTTTTTAGGGGGGTTGCCAAAAATCGCTCACCCACACGGGTCACAGAATCCGCCTCCCGTCTGTCCCGTTGCCCGCAGAAGCTGCCAATCGCCCGCCCAACTGCTGGAGCGTCAGCCAATCAACACCACCCATTGACGCAGCAACCAATAACACACCCAGTAGCCTCCGCAGCAACCAATCAAACATCCACCCTATGCACTACCCATGTGTAAGACGACCCCCACTTTTTTGCATGGTTTTTAGAGGAAAAAACATAGTCTTATACACAGTGGCGTAGCGTGGGGGGTGCAGGGGGGGCCGGCCGCACCGGGCGCAACATCTGGGGGTTAGGGCAAATCCACGGGTTAGGGGGCGAAATCTACGGGTTAGGGGGCGCAAATCCACGGGTTAGGGGGTGCAAATTACTTGCCTTGCCCCGGGTGCTGACAACCCACGCTACGCCACTGCTTATACACGGAAAAGTACTGTAAGTCTCCCAGTGCCTCCTTTTTGACACCCAACCTCCATGAGTAATCAGAGCTACCGATCAATTGATGCATAAATTGTGTATCCAGTACCCGTCTCCTTTAGCTGGCCCAAAAGACTACTGTGATCAATAATATTCAAAGTGGCTGAGAGTTGTAGCAGGACTGAAAGGGACACAGATTTCCTGTCCAGTACCCAGGATTGACCACCCAACCAGGGCAACCAAAGCAGTTTCTGTCCCCAAGCAAGGCTGAATTGGGCAGATTGAAATGGATCCAGCTATTGATGTTGTGCTTTAAAGGCTTGAGCATTCCTAGGACCTAGCTATAGAGCTGAAAATAGAATGTTTTAAGTGTGTTTTAGGGACGCGGGTGGCGCTGTGGGTAAAACCTCAGCGCCTAGGACTTGCCGATCACATGGTCGGTGGTTCGAATCCCCACGGCGGGGTGCGCTCCCGTCGTTCGGTCCCAGCGCCTGCCAACCTAGCAGTTCGAAAGCACCTCCGGGTGCAAGTAGATAAATAAGGACCGCTTACCAGCGGGAAGGTAAACGGCGTTCCGTGTGCTGCACTGGCTCGCCAGATGCAGTTTGTCACGCTGGCCACGTGACCCGGAAGTGTCTCCGGACAGCGCTGGCTCCCGGCCTATAGAGTGAGATGAGCGCACAACCCTAGAGTCTGGCAAGACTGGCCCGTACGGGCAGGGGTACCTTTACCTTTACCTTAAGTGTGTTTTAAGTGCACATTGTACAAACGTGACACTAGATGGTGAGCTTATGGCAAATTCAAACTATTTTTCAAAACGCTTAAAGCATTTTCAATGCGAGGCCAAAATTTGATGGCCCCCCCCCCCAGCCCTCTTGCTGCCTTCAAAAGGAAGCTCCAGCAGCCAATGGGAAGGCACAGAAGCCCCGTCGGACATTTTGCAGTTTAACTAGTTGTGTGCTCTTGCGACAAGTTATTTCCTTGCCTTACAACACTGTCTCCTAACGTTTTGTGAGAACCAGAATTGCTTTTGTGTGATGAGACGCTGATTCAAATGTCTTGCCATGTTTGACGTCTCTTGTTTTTGCTTCTCATCAAGGCTAGTCATGGCTTCATTACTCAGCACCCCTGGGCTAAATCAGTTAGAGCATTTATTAATCTGGAGGCTGCTGGAGTAGGAGGGAAAGAACTTGTGTTTCAGACAGGTAAGAAGAGGCTTAATATCCCCTATCATGCTTTTTTTTAAAAAAGAAAATAAACAAATCCAAAACAAAACTCTACTCGAATACAACTGATGCAGAATCCATTGTTGTTATTATTATGTTTAAAATGTTATCATATAGTTGAACTTTCATCGTGGCTCTGGCGAAAGCAAACAGGTGTAAAATTAAAGGTGGGAAAATCAGGTCCCCCCCCCCACAGTCAGAATAATTGCTGACTGAATTAGTTATCCTTGTTCTTAAGTCATCTGATCTGATATTCAGAGAAGGTTAATATTAAACCGTTCAGCCCCTTGATGTTCCAGCTAGCATTTAAACTGGTTCGGCAACTCTAGATGTGCCAAAATTTCTGTATTAAACGGGAACATGTTTGAAAGATCAGCAAAAGTGAATGAATTTCTTACATAAGGCCTGTGTAAAATGGCAGAAATCGAGGCTGGATCTAGACGTGGCAAAAAAGTGTTTCAGTTTAAAGTGTTGTAAATTTAAACAGGGAAGACAGGTAGAGAAAAACCGGGATTCCATGTTGCCACCTGGTGGCACAATGTTATCTTGCACATACAACGCATATAAATTGCTTTTTCTTTACCCGTCTAAACACTGGTCACTGATAGAGTTAGTTTCAAGTTCTATACAGTTCATGCACTTTTGGCCTGAAAAGTCCCCTCCTCCCCCTTTCTGGTATAGCAGGAATCTACTCCTACGTAGTAGATAAACCTGCAGTTACAGTTTTGCTCTGTTTTGTGTAGGCTTCTGCCTCGGGGTGATTACAAGAAGCTTAGGTATCTGAGGAGCAACCTCTGCACATGCTTAACTTTTTTCTGAGTCTCACTAATAATCTCTGTATCTTTAACTGCAATTTCAAGTATTCTCTTCTCCTGCATCATTACAAGAACAATGTAGGAGGAATATTTACCACTAGCAATTTAGTTTGGGAAGTTTGCCCGTGTTCCACTATGTTAATATTTATTGCTATTCTTGCAAACACTGACTCAAAGAATGACACAAATAGAATTCTAGATGCTAGAAATGAGTTCATCTTTCCTCCTCTGCTATTGGATTATTTTATATCGATTGAATTGTTTTTATTCTTTGTTTGAATGGATGTATGATTGCTGACTGAATACTGTTGTTTATTTTTATTATTACTGTTTCAGCTGACCTTGTAAAGCGCTCTGGGGAAGGTTTTTATGCAGAGAGAGAAATAAATATTCAATGTATCAAAACATTGCTCCCATCAGGCAACGAAATAAAGGAGCAAGTAGTTCGTTCAGAAGTACTTTTGCCTGTGTTTTTAGTTCCAGTATTGCAAAAGATGAATGCAAATATCCCTGACATTTGGATTACAAGGAAACAATTTGAGCATTGATAGAGTTCACAGTTGATGAGGGGGGTACAGCTAAAAGGGTCAGGCCTAAAAGGGTCAGTACAGCCCCTTTTTCAAATAGCAAGACCTGGGGCTCCTTTGGGAGGATATAAATTTAATAAAATAAAAACGAATAAATAAAATGTTTATGGAAGACGCTGAGATCCAGTGGAAGCTTCTATGCAATTCCCATCTCCATCTGTTCCCAACGGTCTCCCAACCCTCTGAAGCAGAATTTTGTGGGGAAGCACAAAGGAGCTACAATGGGAAGCGGCCGTTGTTCGACCCTTCCTCAAGGTCAAAGGTCTCTGGGTCCAGCACAAATTACTTCCTGTAAATCCAAATTTTGGGAATATTTGTATTTGCCTTTAGCTATACTGGAACTAGGGATGCGGGTGGCGCTGTGGGTTAAACCACAGAGCCTAGGGCTTGTCGATCAGAAGGTCGGCGGTTCGAATCCCCGCGACGGGGTGAGCTCCCGTTGCTCGGTCCCTGCTCCTGCCAACCTAGCAGTTCGAAAGCACGTCAAAGTGCAAGTAGATAAATAGGTACCGCCCTGGCGGGAAGGTAAATGGCGTTTCCGTGCGCTGCTCTGGTTTGCCAGAAACGGCTTGGTCATGCTGGCCACATGACCTGGAAGCAGTGGCGTAGCGTGGGGGGTGCAGGGGGGGCCGGCTGCACCGGGCGCAACATCTGGGGTTAGGGCAAATCCACAGGTTAGGGGGCGCAAATCCACGGGTTAGGGGGCGCAAATTACTTGCCTTGCCCCGGGTGCTGACAACCCACGCTACGCCACTGCCTGGAAGCTGTACGCTGGCTCCCTCAGCCAGTAAAGCGAGATGAGCGCCGCAACCCCAGAGTCGGCCACGACTGGACCTAATGGTCAGGGGTCCCTTTACCATTACCTTTATACTGGAACTAAAAACACAGGTGTCATCAACGCAGTTTCTTGCTCTGCATAATACCCCCACCTTACGTTTTCAACATTAAGATAAGTAAAGGAGGTCCATGAAGGAAAGGTTTCCTGTCCCTGATTCCCCTGAGCACCTGGCTGTGTCCTCTGAAGACCTTCTCTGGATAATCATCATCATCACCATCATCATTTATTATTTATACCCTGGACATCTGGCTGAGTTTCCCCAGCCACTCTGGGCGGCTCCCAACAGAGGACTGAAAACAGAATAAAACTTCAAACATTAAAAACTTCCCTAAACAGGCCTGCCTTCAGATGTCTTCTATAAGTCAGATAGTTGTTTATTTCCTTGACATCTGATGGGAGGGCGTTTCACAGGGCAGGCGCCACCACCGAGAAGGCCCTCTGCCCTGTAACTTCACTTCTCGCGGTGAGGGAACCGCCAGAAGGCCCTCGGAGCTGGACCTCAGTGTCCGGGCAGAACATTGGGGTGGAGATGCTACTGAGCAATATGGGATTGAGAGGTCCAGGCAAATAAATGCAGCTGTATGAGTCAAGCCTGTGCCTTTGTGATAGGGCAAGCTACAGATCAAATACAGAGCGCAAATTTAAAATCGGGCAATTCTTCATTTTGCAATTCTTTCCTAATTATTCCAGGACCTGAAAACCCCTGGCTGGTGCAAGCATATATCTCTGCTGCAAAGCACCCTTTTGGTTGTGTTGTGGCTCAGGAAGTGTTTCAGAGTGGCATTATCCCTGCAGAAACAGATTTCCGCATTTACAGAGATTTCGGCAACGTTCCAGGTATGTTGCTTGACCGTTTGGTTGGGCCATTATTTCTGCTTCCTTGTGTGTGCAGGAGAACGAAAGAAAGAAGGTAGAAAAAGATGGTTCTCTTGTGTGAGCTGTGCAAATAGAAACGTGTGATCTGGAGTGTTAGGGCGCAGGCTTAGCCATCCAGCGCTCGAAAGAATTTCAGGCATTTCTTTCCTGGGGCGATATAACTAATGGCAAAGGGGCACAGGGTGCACAGATTTCAAAGCAACAGCAATAAACTGCAACTTGAAAGCAGTTAGACTCTTGATCCTGTTCAAGGACAATCCAGACCCCATCAGGGTTGTGGTGAGGTGTGATTCTGTGCCAGAGCTGCTGCTGTATCCAGAACCCTGTTGCTCACACCAACCAGAGTGGAAGGCAGGGAGACATCAGTCAAATAATGACAGTGGGGTCAACTTTGGCTCTAGTGGCTCTACCATGCGGGACCGAAATGTTGGTACCTCACTGCTGGCAGAGGAACATCATCTAGTCAATGCTCCCCCCTTTCAGTTTAATAATAATAATAATTTATTTGTACCCCGCCCATCTGGCTGGGTTTCCCCAGCCACTCTGGGCGGCTTCAACAAAGATTAAAAATACATTGAAATGTCACACGTTAAAAACTTCCCTGAACAGGGCTGCCTTCAGATGTCTTCTAAATGTCAGGTAGTTGTTTATCTCTTTGACATCTGGTGGGAGGTTGTTCCACAGGGTGGGTGCCACTACCGAGAAGGCCCTCTGCCCGGGGGTCACGGGTGAACATGCAAATTTGCACTTGGGGAAAGAGATGGGTATATAAGCAATTCATTTCATTTTGTGGAAAGTTATTTGGTTTAGTTAAATAACACCTTGGCTATTTTTTAGTTTGATCACATTGCAATGAAATTATATCGACAGGGATAGACCTGGCTTTCATTGAAAATGGTTACATCTACCACACGAAGTACGACACGGCAGACCGAATTCTGACAGATTCTATTCAGAGAGCAGGTTGGTACTCCGAGTTTCTCAGGGATTTTATAGCAATGTAAATCAAAACATTGCTTTGCACGCTAGTTGTTACAACTCAAAGCCACAGGCGTGCTTTAGTTTTCCAAAGAAATCAAACCTGTGGGGAAGGAAATCCAAAATATCATTGGGGTGGGTGGGAATTAATTGGCTCTATGAATTGGGCGGCCTACACTACTTGGATTGTATACTTTAATCAGTGAAGGCAATTTATAGATTTCACACCCCGATTTTACATACTTTTAGCTATCTCCTGGTTACGCCTTCATCTGCTTTCTTTTATCATTCTTGGCATTGAGTTTCAGTTGGAGAATTATTTTTCCTTTTTGCCTGAGTTTTCTCTACATTTTAGAGAAAATATAGTGTTTCAATCTAAGAGTTTCAATTTGTAATGTTCTTATAGTACTGAGAATGCCTGCATAAATTCCGGTTATAGGGTCGCTTTCCTTTGTTTTTTTACTTCATTTTGATCCTAAACCTCCAATTCCTATTTTGTTTTGTAATGCCATGTGTGGAATTTTATGTGAAAACGATGTGGGGGGGGGAGGGGAGAGAGACGAATTCTAAATATATGTTCATATTTTTTTCCAAAGGTGACAATATTTTGGGTGTGCTAAAGTACTTAGCGGAGTCGGACAAACTGGCCAAGTCTCATGAATACCGACATGGAAATGTTGTCTTCTTTGATGTCTTTGGCATGTTCGTTATGTCCTACCCAGCTCGTGTCGGCTCCATTATGAACTATATTGTTACAGCAGTTGCGTTTCTTTATCTGGGGAGAAAAACATTGCAACTGAGAAAAAGAGGTAAGTTATAACTGACAAAGCAGGACTGGTTATAATTCCGTTTACGAACAGGCAAACGAGCTCTTTGCATGATTATAAAGGTAAAGGGACCCCTGACCATTAGGTCCAGTCGTGGCCGACTCGGGGGTTGCGGCGCTCATCTCGCTTTATTGGCTGAAGGAGCCAGCGTACAGCTTCCAGATCATGTGGCCAGCATGACTAAGCCGCTTCTGGTGAACCAGAGCAGCGAACGGAAACGCCGTTTACCTTCCCGCCAGAGTGGTACCTATTTATCTACTTGCACTTTGACGTGCTTTTGAACTGCTAGGTTGGCAGGAGCTGGAACCGAGCAACGGGAGCTCACCCCGTTGCAGGGATTCAAACCACCGACCTTCTGATCGGCAAATCCTAGGCTCTGTGGTTTAACCCACAGCGCCACCCACGTCCTTGCATGATTATAGCTTTCTCCTAAGTCTTTATTTACCATTTTATTTATTTCCCAGCTTTCCCCCAAGGAGCTCAAGGTCCCAGACACACTCTACCCCCCATCTATTCTGTCCTTGCAACAGTCTTGTGAGGTAGGTTAGACTAAGGTGGAATCTAGACACATATAAAAAAAAGTCGTGAAAATACTTCTTAAAAAAAAGTTTCAGAAAATGTATGGAATTTGCCATAGCTCGCCATTGCCACCTAGTGCCACATTTGTATATTGCACTTTACAACACTCTTAAAACATTTTATTTGCAGCCATATAGTTGAGTCCTAAGAGGCAGTGAGTATCTCAAGGTCACCCAGCAGGCTTCATGGCTGAGTGGGGAGTCAGCCCCCTGGACTCCCCATCTCCTAGGGCGATGCTGTAATCACTACCCCAAATTGGCTTTTAGTTTTCGTTGCTGCGCTTAACGCATTTTACCAAGAAAGCCGCTAACAAGTTTTAAACTGCAGGAGGTGGAGGGGATGCACTAAAGAGAGAGCATCAAACGCGTGTTGGCCTCATTTGAAAAGGCAACCAAGACACCTTGGCTGAGATCCAATTGTAGAGTTGGAAGAGACCCCAGTGATCATCTAGTCCAACCCCCTGCATTGCAGGAATCTCAGGTGTCCTGGTAGAGACACATGCCCGACTGGAGTGTTCCCTCCCTCCTGGTCAATTGGGAGCTTTAAAAGCTTTCTTCAGCCCGAACATCACAGCGAGCGATGCCAACCAACATCGGCACACTTAGGGATCCACAGAGTTTGCGCATCATGCGCATGACAGACCTCAACAACTCAGCATTTTGGCTAATCTACTTTATTTACATATAAACACACACGGAGCACTGCAACACGGCTCCCTCTCTCTCTAGCATCAGACAGCAAAGAGAAAAAACAAAGGACAACAGTCCCACTTCACGGAACACAGTGACACGAACATCCTGTCTCCGTCACTTCCCACACTGTGGAATGAAAACATACACCATCATGTGATAGACAACAATCCTATGACTGTAATCATGGAGCAGGAATTCTAACAGATCATACATGACAGATGGCCATCCAGTCTCTGCTTAAAAACCTCCAAAGAAGGAGAGCCCATCACTTCTTGTGGGAGTCTGTTCCACTGTCAAACAGCTCTTACTGTCAGAAAGTTCTTCCTAGTGTTGAGTTGGAATCTCATTTCTTATAACTTGAAGCCATTGGTTCAGGTCCTTCCCTCTGGAGCATTGTGGTTTTGGCATTAAAAAAAAAGTAAATGACCCCCTGGAAGGTTAAGTCCAGTCAAAGGTGACTATGGGGTTGCGGCGCTCATCTCGCTTTCAGGCTGTGGGAGCTGGCGTTTGTCCACAGACAGCTTTCTGGGCCATGTGGGCAGCGTGACGAAACAACTTCTGGCTCATGGAGCACTGCGACAAAAACCAGAGCGCACAGAAACGCTGTTTACCTCCCCGCCACAGCGGTACCTATTTATCTACTTGCACTGGTATGCTTTTGAACTGATAGGTTGGCAGAAGCTGGGACAGAGCAGTGGGAGCTCACCCCGCCGTGGGGATTCGAACCACCGACCTTCCGATCGGCAAGCCCAAGAGGCTCAGTGGATTAGACCACAGCGCCACCCACATCCCCAAGGTTTTTGCATAGCGCGTGTGCATACACGCATGCACACACATCATCATGATTTGCAATATATTACCAAGTCAAAAAATATGAAACTGATACCACAATATGGAAGAGGGGACATGTTTGTTTTCTCCTGCTCTGGAGAATAAATAGCAAAAAGGTGAGGGCTGGCCATTTACCACCCAGTTCTGAAAAGAGAGGTATCATTGTTCATTTGCTTAGGTGTGCCTAGTTTGAATCCTGTAGCCTTGGCAGTTCCAGCTAGAAGGAACGTATTGATCTGGGCTTCATGTCTTTCTCTTCCTGCAGTGAGTTATCTGAAGGAACTTGCCATTGCCTTTGGCTTCTCAGTCCTCAGTTGGCTTGCTGTCTTGATTGGCGTCCTTATCATAGCCGTGTTCATCTCTCTCCTTGGACGCTCCCTTTTCTGGTACACCCACTTCCATGCCTCCGTTCTTCTGTATGGAACTGCAGCCGTGGCTGGACTAATTCTCTTGCATACATTAGCCAAGACATTCTATTACAAAGTAAGTGTGGCATGCAAAAATGTAGGACTTGAAATAAGAGCAGTTCTCTGGTTTTCCTTTAATTATAAACATACAGTGGTACCTCAGGTTACAGACGCTTCAGGTTACAGACTCCGCTAACCCAGAAATATTACCTCAGGTTAAGAACGTTGCTTCAGGATGAGAACAGAAATCGCGCGGCGGCGGCGCAGCGGCAGCGGGAGGCCCAGTTAGCTAAAGTGGTGCTTCAGGTTGAGAACAGTTTCAGGTTAAGAACGGACCTTCAGAATGAATTAAGTTCTTAACCTGAGGTACCACTGTATAGGCCTAAATCCAGCACAGAGTTAGGCGAACTTAATCCGATTGAAACATGAGTTTGACCAAACTTCGGGAGGCAGTGGAAGACAGGAGTACCTGGCATGCTCTGGTCCATGGGGTCACGAAGAGTCGGACACGACTAAATGACTAAACAACAACAAATCCCATTGAAACCATTGATTTAAGCCTGCCTAACTGTGTGTTGGATTTAGTCACAAGACTGCCTCATTCTGACTTAGTCTGATGGTCCGTCTAATCCATTATTTCCCACCGACTGGCAGCAGGTCTGTGGGGTCTTTGGCAGTAGTTTTTCCCATCACCTGCTACCTGTTTCTTTTCATTGGAGATTCTGCATGTGCTGCCCTGCTGAGCTGTGCCCCTTCCCTTAAATTGGGCACAGATGCAAAGGTAAAAGTAAAGGGACCCCTGACCATTAGGTCCAGTCATGACCGACTCTGGGGTTGCGGTACTTAACTCACTATATTGGCCGAGGGAGCTGGCGTACAGCTTCTGGGTCATGTGGCCAGCATGAATAAGCCGCTACTGGCAAACCAGAGAAGTGCACAGAAACGCCGTTTATCTTCCCGCCGGAGCGGTATCTATTTATCTACTTGCACTTTGATGTTCTTTCGAACTGCTAGGTGGGCAGGAGCAGGGACCGAGCAACGGGAGCTCACCCCGTCGCGGGGATTCGAACCGCCGACCTTCTGATCGGCAAGTCCTAGGCTCTGTGGTTTAACACACAGCGCCACCCGCGTCCCACAGATGCAAAACTCATAGCTTAATACTGTCGGCTGCGCACTGGACTGCTTTCTTCTCCAGGTTGCAAGATCAGGAGCCAAGTTCCTTTCTCTCTCCTCTTACACAGATTCAGCAATCAGCCTAATAATTGTTGATCCGCAAACTCCAGGTTTGGCATGCTGCCTCTTGTGGGTGGGTGGGTATGAGAGAAACTGCAGGCAGTGTGTTGGCAAGAGAATCTCTGTGCTTTAGGCACCATTCATTCTGAAGTGGGGGAGTAAATCTAATTATGCCGTTCCAGTCTGGCTGCGTTGGGTTATGTATTAAATGAATTAAAGCCAGTTACCGTTCATAGAATAACAACTTTGGCAATAAGCAAAAACAAATAAAGGCGTTATAAATTGCAACAAATGGGCTGTGCTCTTCATCCCCCTAGCTCAGGAATTCAAGCTTTATATTGGTGGTGTCTGGGGCAGCAGTCTTAATCACGTTCTTTTGATTTTACATTAGCACAAGCATTTTGGCTTGCTAGGTGGAACAGTCCCCCCCCCCCCTTCGTCTCCTTGCATGCTGTTCTGGGAGTTCTCCTGGCCCAGCCCCCCAAAAAGATTTTTTTTGAGTGTGTGTCAGAAAAAATAGTGTTTTGCAAGTGGACGTCCTTGAACTTGCGACTGTTGAATCCTGCCCTGTGTAACAGCACATTTCTCTAGGCTGTTTAAGTACAAACATTAAGAATAACACAGGAGATGGTTATCCACTTACCTGAGAACAAGCCCTTGTGAACATGGTGGGACTTGAATTTTAAGCAAATATGCACAGAACTGCTCTGCCAGTCTGCTTCTTAAGAAACTTGGAACGTTTGTTGCTGACATTTCATAATGCACAGACATTTAAACTTGTTGCTGACATTTCATAATGCACCGACATTTAACTTTGCCTCTCTTTTCTGTCTGCTTGTTTTGTTTTCCCAGAACACAAGCGAACAGTTCCTGGGAGAGCTCTTCTTTGACGTTCCAGTTGTTTTTTGGTCAATTATGTTGGCTTTGCTTACTTACCTAGGACATTCCTCAGCATTTGTCAGTGCAATATGGATTGTGTTTCCGCTGCTCACAAAATTAATGACCTATAAGGAACTGAAAGAAAAAGGTATGGTGAGGGTACCTCTGAGACTTGCCTTTGAGAGTTCTTGTAAGGATTTCAAAAAGATAATATTTGCAAAGAACTTTAGGGTAAAGGTAAAGGGACCCCTGACCATTAGGTCCAGTCATGGCCGACTCTGGGGTTGCGGCGCTCATCTCTCTCTTTATTGGCCAAGGGAGCTGGTGTACAGCTTCCGGGTCATGTGGCCAGCATGACTAAGCCGCTTCTGGCGAACCAGAGCAGCGCACGGAAATGCCGTTTACCTTCCCGCCGAAGCGGTACCTATTTATCTATTTGCACTTTGACATGATTTCGAACTGCTAGGTTGACAGGAGCAGGGACCGAGCAACGGAAGCTCACCCCATCGCGGGGATTTGAACCACCGACCTTCTGATCGGCAAGTCCTAGGCTCTGTGGTTTAACCCACAGCGCCACCCGCATCCCTTAACTTTAGGGTGCTCCTATATAAATTATTATGACTTTCTATGGCAGAAATTCTAGTGGAAATGTTCACAGCTGAGGAATAATAATAATAATAATAGTAATAACAACAACAACAATAACCCAGCCACTCTGGGTGGCTTCCAACACATACAAAAACAAAATAAAACATCAAACATTGATAGCAACAATCTGATGCAATATAAATTTAATTTAATTTCATATTAATCATGCTTGCCCATGCTTGCACAGCAGCCCTGGTGAAAGAACATTAAATCTGAAGAAAGGTCTAGAATTCTATATAAAATATAAAATAAATAAAAATTTATTATTATTAAGGCACAGTCTGACCCCCTCCTTTGGTAATACTCACAGAATGGTTGCCCAATGGTTGCCATTAATTTGATTTTGAATTGATTTTAAAATGAATTGATTTAATGCTGTGTTACTTTTATTGTTGTTAGCTGCTCTGAGCCCGGCTTCAGCTGGGGAGGGCAGGATATAAATAAATTTTTATTATTATTTTTATTATATTGCCAGTGACTTCTTCTCCCCCCCCCCCAATGTAGGTGCCACAATGAAGTTTCTAGCAGTTTACCTCCTGGGAATGTTTATTCCACATGTCTATTCGTTATACCTCAACTGGATTATATTTGAAATGTTAATTCCCATCTTGGGACGCAGTGGTTCCGAAATTCCACCCGATGTCATCGTGGCTGCTTTTATCGTTTTGGCGACGATATTTCTGTCTTCCTACTTTGTAAGAATGCTTTCAGAAATACTTTGTGTTCTACTAATTCAGCTGATTCACAGTGCGGTCCTAGGCATGCCTTCTCGGAAGCAAGTCTCGTTATAGTCATTTGATCTGTAGGTTAAAAAAATGCTGCGACAATTCTTGTGTTTTCAAAAAATAAAAATGCAAATACATGTGGCGCATGTGACCATGAATTTTCCAAGACCATTTTTCTCAACATCTTTCTGTTTTAAGCTGTGAAACATGTATGGCCCGAGAGCTTGTGCGTGAATTGCAATTTGCCATGGGCTGTGCTTCAATTAGCTGCTTTTTAAGTTTTCCCTCTTGTGGCGGGAATCTGGGAGGTCAGCAAATCTGCTGTTTCTGCTGGAATAGATGCAAATTATGTAGATGAATTAGCGTAATGAATTGTGCCCATTAAGTTATGTGGAAGGGTAAGGAACCATAACCCCAACTTGCAACCCCTGGAAATTCTGCATCTTAGATTTCACCTCTAGCATCTTAGATTTCACCAGTCATCGCCAATACTATCTTCACAACTCTTAAGGAGCAGGAACATTCTCTTATATTTTAACAAAAGCTGATGTTTCAAGAATGCTTCTTTCTGCTCACTAATAAATACCATGCTAGTTTGCTCCCTCCTGACCTTACTAAAGGAGAGGTATGAAAGGCCCTGGTTCAGATCTCTGCTTAAATATGATACTTTATAAGTCAGATATGGGCAGACCAGATTTCTTTTATTTTCTTTCTGCTGGAACCTCAAAGCCCACTGACTGGAACCAGGTTCCTAGCCTTAGAATTAAGAAACAGGAATGATTTCTGCTCATGTGCCCAGCAGTTCATTTACAGTACCACTCCTAGTTTCCCCCCAAACTTTGTTCATTTGAGCGGCCTAATTTAGAGAGAAAAGCCTTTTTTTGTTAAACAGTTGGGAGTTGATTTTTTTTCTAAATTGTCCAGAGATTTGCTGGTAGATCCCTTTGTCCCATCTGCCTGTCCCCTAAACCATGTGGTCTTTGTCAGATCGCTGGCCCTCATCCAGATTTGCCACGCAGAGTTGTGTTTTGGAGAAGTCTTTGCGATTAAATAAACCTAAATTTCAAAAGCTTGCAGGCTCATTAGTTGGTTTTTCAGGATGTGTGTTTATAGATGAAGTGTTCTTATCCTTGTTTTGTTCTCCTCCTGTTCTTCAGCTTAAATTCATCTACCTTGCCAAAAGTACAAAGATGTCAATAATAACGTTAGCAACTGTTTCTGCAGTCATGTTCGTCCTGGTTTGCAGTGGAATCTTCTTTCCGTTCAGTTCAGATTTTGCAAACCCCAGACCAAAGCGAATCTTTCTTCAGGTAAGGAATGCTTTTGATGCTTCAGAGGGCGTATCCATGCAGTTGTTAACGAAAGATGTGGTGAATGAGTGAAACTCAGCAAGTCTTTGAAGCTGCTGGCTCATGATGCTCTGTGTAGCCACTGAAATGGACCAGAGATAAACACAGGAAACTGGGGGTGATGCTGTAGTAGGGAAATACTTATCTCCCAACCCTTTAAATCTTTTATATATTTATCATAGCTGTCCATGACTACGAAGATACGGGAGGGAGCTTGGTGGGGCGGGGGAGGCGCATGGGGGCGGGGGGGACGGCGTGGGTTTGGGGGGGGACTCGGAGGGGGGGGGGAGGGGGAGGAAGGAGAGGAGGGTGAAGAAACAGAAAGTAAAACCACTCGAATCTAAACTAACTGAAACTTAAATCCGTAAACTACTGTTTTATAAGTAAGTAAATAAGAATGAATTTAAAAATTCTAACATGGAATGTAAATGGTGTGAATGACAAGGCGAAAAGGAATAAAGTTGTAAATGTTTTGAAAAAGAAAAAATTGGACATAATCTGTATACAAGAGACTCATGTAGCCAAAAAGCATAATCGGGTATTAATAAATAGGAAGTTAGGAATGGAATTTATAAGCTCCACGGCAGAGAAAAAAAAAGGAGTAGTAACATACGTTAAAGAAAAATGGGAACCTAAACTGATCTATAAAGACGAAGAAGGAAGGATATTGGGGGTACAAATCAGCTTCCAGGGGGGAAAAATTAATGTGGTAAACATATACGCCCCAAACTCAAATAAACCAGAGTTTTTCAAGAAACTAGAACAAGTTTTAATAGAACTAGAAAACAACAGGACGATACTGCTTGGAGATTTTAATGCTGTGCCAATTCCAGAAATTGATAGACAAACAGAAAAGGGGAAAAAGAACCAAGGGAAGCTGCCAAAGTCCTTCCAAGACTTGGAAGAAAATATGGACTTAATAGACATCTGGAGACATAAACATCCAATAGAAAAGCAGTTTACCTTCTTTTCAGAAGTACATAAGAGCTGGGGCAGAATAGACCAAATTTGGACGTCGAGAGAACTCTCTTTAAGAGCTATGAAATGTGAAATTCACCCGAGAACTCTTTCAGACCATAACTCAATAACATTGGAATTAAAAAGTGAACTACAAGGAGGCTTTAGATGGAGATTAAATGAACAACTCTTAGAGGACGAGGAAGTCATTCGAAAAGCTAAAGCCACCTTAAAAGACTACTTCGAATTGAATCTTAACACAGGAGTTAGCTCAGAAATAACCTGGGACGCCAGCAAGGCGGTGCTGAGAGGCTTCTTCATTCAGCAGAACAGCTACAAAAAGAAACTAAGGCAACAAAAGAAAGAAGAGATTCTCAATCAGATAAGGCAGTCAGAGAAAAAACTGACAGAGAACCCAAAAGACACACAAAGCATACAAGTAATTAAAATATTACAGACACAATATTCGATGTTAGTGAACCAAGAAATTGAATGGAAAATCAGGTTAATGAGGCAAAGATATTTCGAATCAGCCAATAAAACTGGAAAATTATTAGCTTGGCAACTGAGGAAAAGACAAAAGCAAAGTGTGATAAACAAAATAAAAGTAGAAGAAGAAATAATAGAAGATCCAAAAAAGATACAAAAAATCTTCCTGGAGTTCTATGAAGGGCTATATAAAAAAGGAGAGGAGGATACGACCCTAACAGAAAAGTACTTAGAGAACTGTAAAGGGAGGACTTTAACTGTCGAAGAGAAAATACAACTAAACAAACGCATAAATATAGAGGAGATTCAGAATGAAATTAAAAGAATGAAATTGGGGAAGACTCCAGGCCCGGATGGCCTATCGGCAAAATACTACAAAGTCTTAGGAGATCAACTGGCGCCAGCCCTCTGTGAGGTTATGAATAATATTTTAAAGGATGGAAAAATACCGGAGTCATGGCGGGAGGCATTCATAACCTTAATTCCAAAATCGGACACCGACAAATTGAATATCAAAAATTATAGGCCAATATCTCTACTAAATAACGATTATAAAATATTTGCTGACATAATGGCAAACAGATTGAAACAACATTTAACGGATTTAATTCACAAGGACCAGGCCGGGTTTTTGCCGAACAGGTTTCTGAAAGACAATGTCAGACATGTTATAAATGTAATTGAGTATCTGGAGGTCAATAACAATATACCGGCAGTACTGATGTTTGTGGACGCTGAAAAGGCGTTTGACAATGTATCATGGATGTTTATGATAAAATGTTTGGAGAAGGCGGGGATAGAGGGCGATTTTCTGAAAGGAATACAAGCCATATATTCAACTCAGTCGGCCAAACTGGTAATAAATAACAACCTGACAAACCAATTCAAGATAGAAAAGGGAACAAGACAGGGTTGCCCTCTCTCCCCGCTCTTATTCATTATGGCTCTAGAAATATTGGCGAACAAAATTAGAACCTCGTCTGAGATACGAGGAATTAGAATAGGAATGAAGGAATTTAAACTAAAGGCCTACGCAGATGACCTGATATTATCCTTGGAAGAACCTCGAGAGAGTATTGGCAAAGCTTTAGAGATCCTGGAAGAATACGGCAAGCTATCCGGTTTTAAACTAAACAAATTGAAGACAAAAATGCTGACAAAAAATTTGAAAAGCGAAGAAAAAGAAGAACTAGAAAGAAAATATGGAATAAAAATTGCAAAAAAAATAAAATATTTAGGAATCTGGCTCACATCAAAAAATATAAACTTAATTGAAGATAACTACTCGGTAGTTTGGAAAGAGATCAAAAGAGAGTTCGATGTCTGGAATAGAGTCAATTTATCGTGGTTGGGTAGGATGGAGGCGATAAAGATGGTTGTACTTCCTAAGATGTTGTTCCTTTTTCAAAACATTCCAATAATTAGGGGGTCTAAATTGTTTAAAGATTGGCAACGGATTCTCTCCAGATTCATCTGGCAGGGGAGAAGACCAAGGATTAGATTTAAAATTCTGACGGACCGAAAGGAAAGAGGGGGCTTCGCTGTTCCAAATTTAAAGTTGTATCATGAGGCCGCATGTTTATGCTGGGTTAAAGAGTGGATCACTCTAGAAAACAGTGATCTACTGGACCTGGAAGGGGTGGATAATAGATATGGCTGGCATGCCTATCTATGGCAGAGTAAAGGGAAAGTGCATAGGGGATTTTCGAGCCATATCATTAGAGGCCCCTTGTATGAAGCCTGGGAAAGGAACAAAAAACTACTGGAATGGCGAACCCCCTGGTGGCTGTCCCCTCTTAATATTATAACAGTTAAAAATATAAATACGGGAGTTAAGAATTTAACATATGAGGACCTATTGGTAAGATCGGAAGACACGTGGAAATTAAGACCATACGAGGAGCTGGAGGGAAAACTGACAGTTTGGCTACAATACTATCAAATCAATGCCATATGGGCGGAAGATAAAAAAATTGGAATGAACGAAAAAAAAATCGAAATTTCAGGTCGAAATAATTGAAGGTAACTCCAAATTATTATCCAAAATGTACAATATACTATTGGAGTGGGACACAAAGGATGAGGAGATCAAAGAAGTCATGGTGAAATGGGCGATAGACCTAGGACATAGCATACCCTATGAGCAGTGGTCAAAACTGTGGGAGAAGGGAATAAAATTTACGGCGTGTGCCGCAATCAGGGAAAACATAGAAAAGATGATTCATAGATGGTATTTAACACCAGAAAAACTGAACAGGATATATAAGATCGGTAGCGGGGTCTGCTGGAGGTGCAAAGTAAAAGAGGGTAATTTCATGCATATGTGGTGGGCCTGCGAAGATATTAAAAAATTCTGGGATACTATATACAACGAGTTAAAAAAAATATTAAAATATACATTCCCAAAAAGACCTGAGGCCTTTCTATTAGGCATCATAGGAGAGGAGATTAAGAAAGAAGACGTAGTTTTGTTCCAGTACTCAACAGCAGCGGCCAGACTACTAATTGCTCAAAAATGGAAAAGCATGAGCACCCCAACGATGATGGAATGGCAAAATAAACTATATGACTTCTTTGAATTGGCAAATATGACGCAGAAAATCAGAAACCAAAAGAATACAAAGTTAAGGGATGATTGGGTTAAATTTATGGTATATATAGAAAGAAATTATGAAAACATACCAACTATAGTTGGTTTATTATAAAACTTTCGATGTCTCAAGTTATTAAACAACAACAGCTGTAAAAGTAGAATCTTGGAAAATTAGGAATCCGGAATCAAGAGGGATGGAAGTTGAATTGTATGTTGTCTTGTCTTTTCTCTACTTTTTTCCTCTCTTTTACTTTTTCTTTTTTTCTTTTCTCTACATCTATTGACTTTTGTTATGTGTATGTATTAAACGAAACTCAATAAAAAAATTAAAAAAAAAAATACATTCTTAGCTGGCCACATTCAGAGCCACAGAGCATTCTGTAATGCCCTCTTGCAAAATATTTTGGACGCCAACCAAGTTGGTAGTTGGTTTTCCCTTGAAGGTGGAAAGTAAACTCTTGTTTCGCAAAATTGTTGCATCTGTGGTACCACATGGGCTGTGTACACACTTTAATGTAAAGCACACAGATTTCCCCAGAGAATTCTATAAATGGTAGTTTACCCCGCACAAGAGCTACAATTCTCAGAAACCTCAACAAACTACAGTTCCCAGGATTCTCTGGGGGAAGTCATGTGCTTTAACTGTATGGTGTGTGCAAATCCTTAAGGCTGGTCTTTGTGGGTGGTCATAATAAGTCCGCTGAAAAGATAACCTGGATTCAAAATTTTATGCTGAGCCTTTTTGGGTCACTTTTCCAGCACATGAGTCGAAGATTTCATAGCCTGGATGGGCAGTTGGCGAAAAGTGATTCTGGAATATGGATTAATGGGCTCGACTATGGCGGGATATCTCATATCACTCCTCATATACCTGAACTCAACGATTCCATTAGAACAAAATGCGAGGAAGGCGCACCTCTCTGTGGATTTCCCTGGATCCTTCCTGTGGACTATTTATTCAAGTTGGTAACATCGTCTCCTCAATGTACTATTTAATAAGACTCTCAGTGGATGTAATGCTTTTAAAAACAAACAAACAAACAAACAAACAAACAAACAAACAAACAATGAACTGGTATTTAGGTTAGGTTTACAGTGGTCCCTTGGTTCTCAAACATAATCCATTCTGGAAGTCAGTTCCAAAACCAAAGTGTTCCAAAACCAAGGTGTGCTTTTCCATAGAAAGGAATGCAAAACGGATTAATCCATAAGCTTTTAGGAAAACTTTGGGTTTTTAAAAGTAGAATTCTTTTTTCTTTTGGGCATCTGCCAACCAAAATTTGATTTATTCCAACACGTCTGGTTTTATAAGTTTTTTTTAATATATATATGATGAAGATAGTCGTTTGGATTTACCGCATTTTTTGCTCTATAAGACTCACTTTTCCCCTCCTAAAAAGTAAGGGGAAATGTGTGTGCGTCTTATGGAGCGAATGCAGGCTGCGCAGCTATCCCAGAAGCCAGAACAGCAAGAGGGATTGCTGCTTTCACTGCGCAGCGATCCCTCTTGCTGTTCTGGCTTCTGAGATTCAGAATATTTTTTTTCTTGTTTTCCTCCTCCAAAAACTAGGTGCGTCTTGTGGTCTGGTGCGTCTCATAGAGCGAAAAATACGGTACTTTATGCATTTGTGGCTGGCTCTAAGGCCATAGCTTTAGTTTTCAAACCTATCTGTGTTTGACGCTGTGCTATGACCAGTTGTGTTGTGCAGAGTCTTTTAAGTTGGACAGATTCAATACCGAGCAGTAATTTAAAGTACTTCAAAAATGCCGTTTTGGAGAGTCACATTAATCTTAAACACAATCTTTTCTTGCAGGAAAAATTGGTATCTTCCTGCTCCAGCCATCACTCCCAAGAAACCAGCTCACTTTCAGCTTCTCTCCAAAGAGCGAACGCCGTCAGATTCTACAAAGTTCACCTTTGAAATAACCGGTGAGTTGTGTGTGCTATTTTATTTTTATTTGCTATTTGTCGTTGAGAGATGTTTTGGTTTCTGCAGGTGACAATGCTAGTCTTAGAGTAAGGCTTCTGACAAACAATTCCCTGTCACTGTCAGCCTGGATAGGTCAGTTGGTTAGAGCGTGGTGGTGATAACGCAGAGGTTGCAGGTTTGGTCCCTGTATGGACAGCTGCATATTCCTGCATTGCAGGAAGTTGGGACTAGATGATCTATGTCCCTAACAGTCCCGTTTCCCAGATACAGGAAATTTTGCATGCCGCAGTTGCAGTATGCATGAGTGAGCTTCTGCCTGTCTATGAAAAGTTGTGTCACAATAAATTGGTTGGTCCTTACAGTGCCACAAGACTTTGTCATCTCTGCAGCAAGCAACTAACGGGTGACCTTCTTGCGATTTGTTTAATTTTTGTGCTGCTTTTTAGGCCTTCAAAGCAGCTTGCAGACTAAAGGCAAATAAGCAATAAGAATGTGACAGAAGCTCAGTGTACAGCTTTCTATATAAATATAAATAAATATGTATATGTATGTTTCTATTAAGGTTTATAAAGAAGAATACAAAGATGGTTGTCAAATATCTTTTTTTGTCCAAAGGCAAAAAAGAGAAAGAGAAGAAGAGGAAGGAAGGGGAAGAGATAGGGAAAAAGGAATAGATTGAAAAGAGAGAGAGAAAAGTTAAGAAACTAAAGGACTTCTGATTCCTTGTCTGTCTACTATATATAAGCATTATTCACTTCAGCAACTGCAGTATAACACATAATAAAGCCACTTTCTACAAATCCTTATCTTCACTCCTCAAATCCAAACATCACTATTTCTTCTTTTTCATGCAAAAAGTCTGTGAGAGGTTTCCCACCTTTAGTAAACGTTTACAATGACTTTTCTCTGATTAAACATGTGGATTTCGCCATCTCAGCTAAGTCTGTTAGTTTTAACAGCCACTCTTCCATCGCTGGCAATAATGGGTCATAACATCTTTGAACGCACAACTTTCTGAATAAAACACAGGCCCCACATACTCTACTGTTTGACAATGGAGCACTTTTGGAGAGAGTTGGATTTGCGAATCCTAGACTCATACAACCAAACCTTTCTAGTTGTCCTTTGGCTGAACGAACCAGTTTGTTGTACGGTGGTACCTCGGGTTAAGTATTTAATTCGTTCCGGAGGTCCGTTCTTAACCTGAAACTGTTCTTAACCTGAAGCACCACTTTAGCTAATGGGGCCTCCTGCTGCCGCCACACCGCCAGAGCACGATTTCTGTTCTCATCCTGAAGCAAAGTTCTTAACCTGAGGTATTATTTCTGGGTTAGTGGAGTCTGTAACCTGAAGCGTATGTAACCTGAAGCGTATGTAACCAGAGGTACCACTGTATAGTCATGCGCTAAGTTTCATGGTGAATGGGTTCCTGCTGGGGAACCATGAGCAGCTATTGAGTTCAAGTCTTATTTATGAACTTCTCAAAGCATGTGGCAGGCCATTGTGGGAGTTGAATGCTGGACTGGACTGACTTTTTGACCTGATGTAGCTGAGTTTTTTTTGCCTTAAAGCAAGCAGTAAGGGACATAAAGAAATTCAGGAGAAAAAAGGAATTCACGATAGTTCGGGGTACACCTGAAAAAGTCCCTGTGTTCTTCATTCTGTGCTCATGTAGAAATCTTTGTCTGTCGTCTACTTTAGGTCCAAGTCACATGTCAGTGTTTCTTCGACCACGTGAAGGTTCAACACTGTCCAGGTGGTCTCTGGGAGATGGAACTCCTCTTGCTAATAATGTAGGCAGAGATTATTTTATATATTATACACATGGACTCCAGGCCTCGCCATGGCGCTTCTGGATAGAAATGAAGGTGAGGCTATATCAAAAACATGCAATCTTACTTCTTAGAACTCTGTTAAAATGATTTGCTTTTTCGGAATGCGGTTACCAATGGTTCGTTTGTGTGTGTGTGTGTGTGTGTGTGTGTGTGTGTAAAGAAAATGCAGACTTTTTATGCTATACATATTGGAACTCAGTTCCCTCCTGCCCCTTGGCTTTTAAGTTTACTCTTCTCCTTGCACACATCCCAAACGGTTTGCTTCAAAATATGCTTCATAGGGACGCGGGTGGCGCTGTGGGTAAAAGCCTCAGCGCCTAGGGCTTGCCGATCGAAAGGTCGGCGGTTCGAATCCCCACAGCGGGGTGCGCTCCCGTTGTTCGGTCCCAGCGCCTGCCAACCTAGCAGTTCGAAAGCACCCCCGGGTGCAAGTAGATAAATAGGGACCGCTTACTAGCAGGAAGGTAAATGGCGTTCCGTGTGCTGCGCTGGCTCGCCAGATGCAGCTTGTCACGCTGGCCACGTGACCCGGAAGTGTCTCTTCCGTGAGATGATCTCTTGAGTGAGATGGGCGCACAACCCTAGAGTCTGTCAAGACTGGCCCGTACGGGCAGGGGTACCTTTACCTTTATGCTTCATAGGGAGACCATCTCTTTCAGGGATGGCTCACCCATGGGTCACCTGTAGAGCTTTCTTATGGCCCTCCCAAAACCTCTCTAAAATCATCATTAACACCCACTCACCCACACCTGCCCACAGGGATGCCAGCTTGAGGAGAGGAACCCTTGCCCCCCGGTTTGATCTCCTGACCATAGCGAAGAGAGCCGATATTATCTGTACACTGGGCCTCACTGTAAAATCCCAAGTTATGGCTCTTCTATTTCTTGTAACAAGTAGAGACACTTTTCTTTCTTTTTCTTTCTTTTAAATTTTATTTATACTTTTCAAATACAGTGGTACCTTGGTTCTCAAACTTAACCCGTTCCGGAAGTCCGTTCCAAAACCAAAGCGTTCCAAAACCAAGGCAAGCTTTCCCACAGAAAGTAATGCAAAACGGATTAATCCATTCCAGACTTTTGGAAACAACCCCTAAAACAGCAGTTTAACATGAATTTTACTAACTGACGAGACCATTGATCCATAAAATGAAAGCGATAAACAATGTACTGCAGCCACACAATCCACCGGTAGCTGAAATGGGTTCCACACAGTCACAAAAAACGAAACAAAAAAAGCTGCAAAAACAAAAGCTGCAAAATAAATAGCAAAGATAGACCTCAGCATAACACTGAGAATGGAAGTGTGGCACTCAAATTGGAAGTGTAACACTCAAAACGGAGCATGTTTGGCATCTGAAAAAAGTTCACAGATCAGAACACTTACTTCCAGGTTTGCAGTGTTTGGGTTCCAAGTTGTTTGAGTACCAAGGCGTTTAAGAACCAGGGTACCACTGTATAACTGCTTTTACATTCATTTTGACATTTTAAAACTTGACTTCCTTCCCCCTTTCTGCGGTTCCTTAAATTTATTTTTACTATCTTCTGCATATCCAAATTAACTTAACTTGCTCATTTATTTATCTTCTTTATATATATTTTATACTCTTATATAGCTGCAGGTTATTACAATAATCCTGCCAGTGTTTTAATCTGTTTACAATTTATCCGTAAATATTCAATAAACCATTTGCATTCTTTTATAAAAAGTTTGTTATCTGGATTTCTTATTCTTCCAGCAAGTTTCGCCATTTCTGCATATTCTATAACTTTTTGTATCCATTCTCCTTTTGCTGGGGCTTCTTCTTCTTTCCATTTCTGGGCAAGTAATGTTCTTGCCACTGTAGTCGCATACATAAATAAATTTCTATATAATTTAGGTAGTTCTGTCATTATAATTCCCATACTTGTGGTTTTCATACTTCTAGCACAATCTGTGTAGTCATAGCTGTTTTGTCCCTCATTTATTAACCTGTTTTTTGGTGTGTGTGTGTTTTTTTTTTACTTCTTTTAATTTTCTACCTAGTCTGATATTTAATAGGGAGAAAACTCCTTCTGTATCCCTGCATGACATAGAATGGCTTCTGTATAGGCTGTTTCTTCATACTGGATTCCCTTTTTAGCCAGTAGCAAGCAGCAAAAATGCACATCTGCTATGTATCAGAGGGTGCCTTTGGAAACTTCAGCCCATCCTAGAATGTGCATGTGATTACAAGCCTACTGTTTCTAATTGTCTTAAAAGGTCAAACCCACAATTTTCCTATGAACCAACATTTCTACTTTTGCTTTTTGTGAGCCTTTTTAAAAAATGTGCACAGATTGCTCCACCTCCATATAACTTGTTTGTTGGATATGCTGCGTAGCTCCCATTTCAGTGTGCTTCCTTGTAACGTGTGTCATAGTTGTCAAATTGGTTTCAGTATCATTTGTGAGCTTTCAGCCTGCTAAATACCATTTTCCCTTCTTTGTAGTCTCTGTGAAGGGCGCACAGGCTTCCATCCTGTTTGCAGGCCCCGAGTCTTCTGGATCTGACACCCTTCGCCACCTATACCATACTTTTCGCTCTATAAGGCACACTTTCCCCCTCCTAAAAAGAGGAAATGTGTGTGCGTCTTATGGAGCGAATGCAGGCTGCACAGCTATCGCTGAAGCCAGAAGATCCCTCGGTGCTCACAGATCCCTCTTGCTGTTCTGGCTTCTGGGATAGCCACGCAAAGCCTCTTCAGGGCAACGGGAGGAACGTTCCCCCTGCCCTGAAAAGGCTTGGCACGGCTATCCCAGAAGCCAGAACAGCAAGAGGGATTGCTGCTTTCGCAGCGCAGTGGTCCCTCTTGCTGTTCTGACTTTGGCTGGAGAGGCGCTGCACAGCTTTCCCTCTCTGCGCAGCGCCCTTTCAGCAAAGTGGGGGGAGAAATGGAGCCCCTTCCATTTCTCCCCCCGCTTTGCTGGAGAGGCGCTGCGCAGAGAGGGAGAGATTTTTTTTCTCTTGTTCTCCTCCTCTAAAACTAAGTGTGTCTTATGGTCCGGTGCATCTTATAGAGCGAAAAATACAGTAATTGTGCAATGATAATAAGCGACTTAGAAGTTTCTAGAAATCATGTTTAGCATGACAGTGATCAAATCTTTGCTTAATCTGGCTTTGCCTTGGCTGTTTTTTCAGGCTTCTGAAGAGCCCACTAAAGGAATGGTCACCCTTTCTGTGGTTTCGCAGTATTTATTTGAAGAAGATCACAACTCTCCTCAGTTGCAGGCCTTAGCTGAACGATTTCCCAACTGGACTTTTACCTCAGGCTGGGTCTCCACCTATGATCAATTTATCTTTTAACCCAGAGATAACACAAAGGTAAATTGTTTCCCATACATTGGATGCAGCTTTCGCTCATAAGGAGTTGGGAAGAATGAGTATTGTTGACAAAAAATACTGTGTAAAATACTTCAGCCACAAAGGTATTTCTATGGCAGCTTGAATATGTAAAAGGGGGTGGGGGCATGGGGGGAGAGAAGGAAACCTTTGTGGTTTTTATGCAAAATATCACCTACTTGAAAGCTGCCTTTTAGGAAGGGGTTTTAGAGTTGCCGTCCTGGGCATCTTGCAATAAAAGGGGCTTTGCGCAGGCATTCCAAGCACAATGTAAAACCCTCCGCAGGCTTTAAACAACCCGAGTTCTGCCTTCCAGTAACATTTTGATTCGTTGTGTTCTTAATCGGCTAAAGTTAGGCTTTGACTTGGAGACTTTTAAGACTGTACATCATGGAAGATAAAAGAAGCGCCAGTGATCGTTACAGCTCCAAAGTATTGATGCCCATTTAGAACACCGTCTATAATCGAAGCTCTTTAAATTCTTAACCGCAGAGACCTTGGCGATTGCTAATTCTTGCCTGCTCTGATTTTACGGTTTTTCTTTCTAAAAACTTCTGTATGTCCCTTTTGGGGCATTGTACTGATGCTCGACTGCAGTGTCTCTGAGTAGAAGTTGGACCAACCCCAAAATGCGCTCACTTTTCTATGGGGATCAAGTGGAACGAAGGCCAGGCTGTATCGGATGCAAGCGCACAGTGCTATTGTCACTTTGGACTTCTAAGCACTGAGCTAGCCACTTTCGCCTTTTGTATGTAGATGTCTTAACTGTGTGTTGGGTTTTCATTCTTGGCAATACCAACTATTCAGCAGTTGCTAAAATTGTCAATGGTCAGTTCCTATTCTTTAGTTGCTTTCTTGCAAGTTAGTAGAAACTACACGTTTCCACTGTGTTATTATAAGCTTGCAGGAAATCAAGTTGCACGTGCTTGAAATGTGCTCCTTTAAAATATGTTGGAACGAAGAAACTCTTGTTCAGAGAGATTTTGAACACAGTATGCTCATCTGTAATTCCTTCCATTTAAGATTACATTGCTCTACTCTGTTTCTATCGAACTCAATGGGACTTGCTTTTGAATAAGTACGTGTAGCATTAATGCTATTCATGTTTGGGATTTTGCTATTAATGACTTCAGCTTCCAAAGCCCAAATATTTTAGTGCATCGGGGGGAAAGAAACATGTTCCAAAAGGAAACATGTTGGGAAGAATTTGCCTAGGAGGAGGCTGAAAACAGCCCGCCATAAATTAGAAGCCATTTGCAGGTGAAATAAGCAAAACATGAAGTGATATAAAAAAGCAAATTATTTGTTTCAGATCCACACAGTAATAACTTCGGACAGAAGGTTCAGGTCCCATCAAACAGTTTTTTGGGGGCAGGTTTTTAGTCAGATCATAGAAAGCACTTCCAGTGGCAACCAATATAAAACCTTTTCCCCTTCCTACCTCTTCTGCTTCATTTGCATAGCGAAGGAAGGGGGGAAAATGGCATTTTCATCAAAATGAGTAACATAGGCTGGACAGTCTCTCTGCTGGAGGACATGTAAAAATGGCATATGCCAGAATGTTCAGAGAACTTAATTGTATAAAATACTACTCTATTCTCTAGAGCAGGTTTCCCCAAATTTGGCCCTACAGATGTTTTGGGACTACAATCCCCATCATCCTTGACTACTGGTCGTGTTAGCTAGGGACGATGGGAGTTGTAGTCCCAAAACATCTGGAGGTATGGGTTTGGGGATGCCTGCTCTAGAGAGTATGGGAAGAAAATCAGTGCTGTGGGCAGAAAACTTCCATTTCCCAGTTAAGCGATAGTAGGCGGCTGTAAGGCTATGTTGCCCCTTTGAGCTCCTCAAGACTCAGGTTTGTGGTGCTGCTGCTGCCAAGATGCCAAATCACACAGTGTACAAAGCATGTGCCTGTAGTGGCTTTCACACAGGTGGGGTAGGAACAAAACCATATGCAAAAGCCAAGATGAGAATTAGCTTGCTGCAATTCTGCCGTGAAGTAAGTTCCATTTAAGGGAGTTACCTCCCAGTAAAAATAATTAGATCAGGATGCTATTTGAAATCCCTGGTTCTTCAGCTTTACCGTCCAAATATTTTTTGATTTTTTTCCATTCAGATGACTTCTCAACATTTCCATTTCCCTCATTTTTTTTTTAATGCCAGTAATCCTGCATTGCGTTAATATTACCTTATTAATGTCTTGGAAAGTGTTGCATAATTATAATTTGAACGTTAAGGTCAACGCCAGCCTAGATGCCTGCGTGCCACTGAAACTAGCAGCTGTGCATTTAGCTTCTCCTTTCCTCTCTGTAGCCTCTTGTATAACTTGTGTCATGACATTGTGGGCTGCATTTTCCTCTCTCCATTCTAAATCACTGAATGGTGATTGGAAGGAAATTGAGAATCCCGTGATATCAGAACACAAGGCGTGTTATACTCCCCGTTACAGAGGGGTGGGGAACCTAAATATTTGGCTGCTCTATTGTGAGAAATGTTTAGTGGAATGCGTCAGCTGGTCCTAAGTAACAGCACTGCTTTGTACTTAGAACTCAAATATTTCAAGCAAAGTCCAACACATTGCCTATATTACTGTCTTAATTGTTGTAGCTACAAACCTGCATTAATATGTTATATTAAAAAGTGCACAAACTCTTTGCACTAAAAACAACTGATTTTGCATGTAGTATTTTCCATTCATAAAAAAAACAAACTACTCGCGGAAGTATAGTGTTTATCTGTCCTAAATCTCTTGAGGATCTTAATGTACTGCATCTTAATGTACTGCTTTTGCAACATGCGTTTAAAATCTCAGTGCACCTTTTGCACATAGTGTGTGTTCTCCAATAAACCGAGATTGGAGAAATTCAGAACTCACCAAGCCTTCCCCAACTGATTTACATTGTGCCTCAAAACTTACATAACGGTTTGAAAATGACTCTGCATGATGTAAATATGGAGTAATGAAAAATACCTACATGTCTCAGAGCATGCTTAGGAACATCAGGGCAAGTAATAACTATTTTGTTCCTTGAAAGAAAAACTTTGCCTAACTCAGGTTGTATATTTTATTAAGTAGCAGAATGAAATAGTGGGATGCATTTTTTTGTGAACTCCTGCCTTTTTTAAAAAAGTACTTAATTGTTCAGCACATGAATTCTCTTGTTGATCATTCTATCTTGTCTTCCCTTGTTCTAGCATTGCACTGAAATCCCCAGTGTGGCATTCTTCAGCTTAAAAGTTCTCAAGGATAAATTGAGTGTGTGTGGAACAAAAATCCTGCAGTTATTGCTCCTTGCTAGCCTAACTATGGGCCTGGTTTTTGTCATATACAGTGGTACCTCGCAAGACGAATGCCTCGCAAGACGGAAAACTCGCAAGACGAAAGGGTTTTTGGTTTTTTGAGTTGCTTCGCAAGACGAATTTCCCTATGGGCTTGCTTCGCAAGACGGAAACGTCTTGCAAGTTTGTTTCCTTTTTCTTAAAACCGTTAATACAGTTGCGACTTGACTTCGAGGAGCAACTCATAGCACGCGGTGTGGTAGCCTTTTTTGAAGTTTTTGAAGACTTGGTGATTTTTGAAGCTTTTCCAAAACTTTTCCGAAACCGTGCTTCGCAAGACGAAAAAATCGCAAGACGACAAAACTCGCGGAACAAATTAATTTCGTCTTGCGAGGCACCACTGTACATTACAATATAGCTGATGAGTTGTTAAATGTGTGCTTGGGTGTACCACTTCAGACTGCATTTATGGAGCTCATAGGACTGTTGTATTCTACCACCCCAGAAACACCCCTCTTTGGAGAGGGTGCCTGCCAGGGAGATTAGCACAGCTGGGAAAAGGCAAAGCTAGGACCAATCTTCCACGCAAGAATCCTTTCTTCTTCTTTTTTTTAAAGGAAGCAATCTATCTATGAGCCCCTCACCTGCTGCCTAAAGCGGTACATATATGCTTACCTTTGTCTTCTGTTTGAGAACCAGGCCCTGGTTACAGATGTTGGAAGAAACACACAAGAGCTTGGAGAATGGAATGTATGTAAAAGATAACCAATGCTAAATAAATTGATTTTATGAAAAGGTTTTGTTTTCTGGTCTAATCTGTTTAGGTGCCTCTGTAGCTAGAGTCAAGGATGGGTATAGCCAGTAGATTCGTTCTTAGGTTTTCTTCCCAGTTTCAGGGGCCATGGAAGGAGAAGGGAAAATACAACTTTCGTTAGTATGTCATTGCACAGGCTTCTAGTAGCATGACCTTGCTAAGACAGGCTCGTCTTGAGGTCAGTGGTATAAGCAGCAGGGAGCAAACAGAAACCTGGGCGAAGCGTTGAGCAAAATTAAAGGTAAAACCCTGCAGGGGGTGGGATGGCGCAGTACTCATCAGCATGCCTCTTAATGCAAGAGAGGGTTTAGTGAGTGGACATTACATATTAAAAACAGGTTAAATATTTCTACCTGGAAAAAATAAAAGCAGATGTTTATTCCCTTCATGTTACACAATGCAGCATGTCAAGCTAACAAGAAGTATGGATTGTTACCTCATTTCCACCCTTCGTCATTTATTTGAAAGTTATTGCACATGTACCAGTACTAATGGCAAAGTCTAAGCAACAGTAATAAAACTTATCTAGTTACATTTATCCATTAAAAGACAATTTGATCTTGTCCCCTGGAAAAATATACAAAGTTATAATCTGTATTTCTATGCTCCTTCTGAATGTTCAGAACACATTACCAGTTCAGAATTCATATAGAGAAATGTATGAACAAACTGAGGTTGTGGCAGACAGTGATGCTTCTGCATAATAAAATGGTTTTGGTCCATATCAGTATTCATTATACCCCACATTATAAAAATAAGTGTTAGTTTTTGTATAAAAAGTAGAAGTGTTGCATTTCTCTTTTTTTCCTGTAACCCCAATTGCACAGTAGAAACCAACCAATGCCTACATTTTAATACTGTTACAGGTATTTAATATTATACATATTGGGGGCAGCAGATAAGGGGGAAAATAAGTACCTCAAAGCAACCATGAGCCTCTCCTGCAGCCAGCTTCTCTTAACATTGTTGTATGAAAGTTAAAATAAACATTTGCAATTAGTTACAAGTATATGCATTATAAAATATTTGCAAGGTGGTAGTTTAAGTATATACACTGTACATTGTCACTAGCCAGCCTTAAGAGCAATAAGGTGGTTCTATTTACATAAAACTAGTCTTGAGAGAGAAAATGTACAAGTGAAATAAATAAGAACCTTCCGTTATTTGTTTAAAATCTGCTTAGGATACATCTGAATAGGTCCGAAAACAAAACGATGTCCCTAGCAACTGTTTCTACTGCTGTGGAAGAGTTCGGTGAAAGTCTCGTTGCATCCTGATGGAAGTGCGACTATGCTTCAATTTTCCTGGAATTAAAGGTCAAAGCATGCAAGACAGAGAGGGCTCGGCTCCCCTTCACTGCAATACAAGCACCAGAAGCATGAACAGAATATACAGGAATATTCACAAAACATACAATGTATTTTACAATTATTTAATATAAAAAGTCTAGTGATATCAAACAGCATAATCTATAAAACAGACAGAGCCTAGCTCCATCAAGCCATCGTTTCCGGCAATCAAGCTAAGCAGAACATACGAAGTTGTTATCCTAGTTAGCTTCATTGTTGATTTTTTTAAAAGTTTGGGTTCAAAAACCAGGCAAGCTGAACATTAGACAAACACTCCTCTTAAATATTGTCTCGTTTTCCAGAGGGGACCAGTTTAATTTAGAACCTCCGGATATTAGGTTGCATTCTTCTTGCATCCCAAAGGAACTCAACTTGTGCACTGATATATATGTCCTTCTGCATGATCAGTTATCCAAAACAACAGGAAAATATTTGAGGACAAGAGGGGGGGCAGGGCGGAAAAAACCAAGATCTCCAAAATAAAATTATATTGGTATGAAAACTACAAATACGATATTCTTGCTTTCCACATAGCCAAGTTTATAGACGAAAGAGCCAAGACTGCTTACTAGGAAGTTTTCACAGATTTAAGAAGGTTCTCTAGTTAATGCATTTTTTAAAAAACACACCAAAAAAGCATTAAAAAAAAGAAAAGTTTAACTGTTGAAGGCTTTGATTACTCCCCCCCCCCAAAGCAATGTTCTTAAATGCCATTACTATGATGCTGTGCTCTTATTCATATGATCAGCCAAAAGTTTTCAGGCAGTGTTAGGACACAGTGCAGTCATAACTGCCTTCTGGGAGTGGGTCCTCCTCTTCCTCCTCTCCAATCATGTCCTCATCGTGCCGCGTCATGGTGCTACTGCCAGGGTCAGTTTGAGGGCTGGCACTGTGGCCAGCTGAACTTCTGTTTTCTTCTGCCCTCGGGCTGGCTTGCTCTGCTGCTCTCGAGAGGTTTGCAGGCTGAAAGGCTTCCTGCTGCACTTGTTCCTCTGCTATCTCGCTCAGTTTCTGGAGCTGGGGCTTGAGGACGGTTAAAAATGGCTTGTACCCAAGGCTAAAGGACATAAAAGAGAAAAGTCATTCCAGTTAATTATCTTAAAACTCCTAATTCGGGCTTTGACCTTCTCCTGGTCATTAAAGTTCAGAACACGATGTACCTTGCACTAAACATACTCAAAATGTTTTGCTCATAAATTAATGGCTGTGGAAACACTTTTAACAGTAAAAGCCTGTATTTACTCATATGGTGTCCCAAGTTTCCCTTATTACCCTGAAGGTGCTCCCACCATATCCCAAGTCACTGTGATTTGAGATATACATGCATACCCTGCTTGTTCTATGGACAGATACAACCTGTTCTCACACTACTGTTTAGTTTTTTATATCATGCCGTTTATATCATGCCTATTATTGAGGTCACTGAACAGATCCTGGTTGAGACAGGTCCAACATTAAAAATTCATCCTTTAATCACCAGTGTACTTCAGTGCTATGTTGAACTGCATGCGGATTTATTTGGCAGACAGTGGGAGGGGATAAGGCTCATGAAACTTACCAGTCTGTAGAGGCCCATCTATCTACTGCCTGCAATCCCATCTTTATGTTCTGCAACATCTCTCCATCAACCTCTGAGGATTGCATTAGGCTAAAAACTTGACTGATTATTGAAGATTCCCGGAGAATAAGGCCTATAATAACGCACCAGTCCAGACATCCTGCTTCCATAAAAATATGAAGCAAATACCTACAGAAGAGCAAAAAGTTGAAGCAAACAGGGTAAGGCAAAACAAACTTTTTAACACCACTGCCAGACTGCTCTCCCCTCTAACCCCAACCTGCTAAGATTGGCTTCAAGGAGACATAGCAAATACTCCTCACCCCTTTACTACAAATTTCAACCTAACTTACCGCAGCTGAACCTGTGATTTATGTGGCCCTTTACTGGCCAGCTCCAAGGAGATATGTTCCAGCTCAGATTGTGTTAAACTCAGTGTTGAGAAGTTCTCATCCACCATCGTCCAGTCTCCGTCCACGATAGAGCTTGTTTCCGTCAGGTCTGTTGCTGAACCAATGCTACATTCATCACCTGTTGAAACACTTTCATTTTAATGCGGAACTTAGAAAATCAGTACAGAACTGATCATGTCTGTTATAGCAAACCCAACAGAATGGCAACCTTGAGATCTGCGGTTTCCAAACTGTTAAAGGGAAGCCTTGGGCTTTCCCTTCAATAAGATCAGGAATTAAGACAACTTCTCTGA